GAATTAGAGGTGCTGCTTTCGGAGGTAGACCGGAGAAAAGCGGTGTTATTTGCAAGTTTGTTCTCCGGAATTAACAACAAAAGAAAAAAATAGAGTGGGAGAGTTTAGCTGATGCGGTTAACACAGTTGGGTCTGAACATCGCACTGAGTGCATTAAAAAAAAAAGAAATAGTGTGGTTTATATCTGTAAAATGTTGCAGGACGCTTAACAGTCTCAGTGGCGCACCTCGTAAGATGCATGTGATCATGTATTAACACGTTCGAGCATGAACTCGGCTCGAATCCAGCGTCTGATGAACTCTTTCTTCTTTTTTTCCCCGCTACATATCAGATTTTGCCCACTATTTATCACGAGAAAGACAAGTAGGAATCATCAATAAGTTTGTGCATCATATTTTATTTGCACATTTATTGAATGGAAATGTTTCTGATTCACGCATGCAAATTCATCTTCAGATTGTGTCTTTATAGCAATGTGCGTGCGGTAGATCGCTCAGATTACATTGGGAAAACAGGCGACTGCTGCAATATGTGCTTTAATGTTTAGCTGGTCAAATGTATGGTAAGGAAACCTTATATACCTGCTAGATGAACCCGTCTCATACAGCTGCCATTGCAAGGCTCAGACACTTTGTAGAGAGGAATTTGACACAACTGCCTCTAGGAGTCGCCAATGGAAATAAAACAGACACGCACAAAAAATGTGCGTACGCCAGCCAGAAAGCTGCCGTGAAGCTGCGCACATTCCCACGTTCAGTTCATTGTTAGTAAATCCAAACGTGAGCGATTCTGAGCGTGAAACCTGGCGTACGCAAAGTTTTTGTGCGTACGCAGCGTTGATGCATGAGGCCCCTGGACTGGCTGCATTAGGAGCTGGACAGTGTGTAGGATCTTTAAAGCACAAATATTGCCTTTTGTTGCTGGGCTGCAGGTTACAATAGACTTCAGCATCGGTAAAAAGATCCACTCACATCCTCCTGAGTAATGAAAGGGACTGATTAGTAGCTTGACAGTAAATAGGTCAAACATAAAGGGATGATATGTTTCCATATAAATAAGTGAATTAGACTTGGCGCAAAACTGGAATATCACGTAAAAGATTTGTTTCATTCCAGTGAGTCAAAAGCCCCTTTCACACAGTGATACCGGTAAATATCCGGAAAATTTCCGGAACGACTTTACCGGTATATTAAAAAAAACGCTGTTCACACAGGCGAGGACGTTACGGAAATTTTCCGGAAAAGAGCATTCACACATCCATTCCAAAATACCGGTAAATTCTGACATCATTCACCACAAGTGAGCTTTAAAAGGCTGCGCTTGTATTTGTAAACATTTGACTAAATTACAAACTCTGTGGATGATCAATATTGTGAACAACTTTCACAGGATCACTTTCGCATGTCGAGATGTTCATATTATCTGCGTGTGCAGGCGCTCATATGCGCCCGCAAAGCTTGAAGGTAAACAAACAACGGCTTATCATAAGCATCTCATCGATGATTGTTTACACAGTTGGCATAAAGAAGAACATATAAACGTGATCTGACTAACTTCTAGCAGCTAAATGTGTCCGGAAAATATTCAAAGGCTTTTATCCTCACAAACCGCGCGGACGTAAATGCGTCTGACTGTTGTGATTGGCTTAAGCAGACGTCTCACGTCAGCACGTTCTAGACGTGCACGCGCTTATTACGGGAATCTTCCTTCTGCATTCACACAGTGCAGCATTCCGGCAAATTGCCGGTAATGTTACAACTTCTCTTTCCGGAAAATAGCCAGAACGAATTTACCGGTATTTTCAAAAAGGACCTGTTCACACATACAACCGTTCCGGAAAATTGCCGGCAATTTTCCGGAAAGGTCTGTATGTGTGAAAGGGGCTAAAGAGAACAAAATCGTGACTTCCTGATAAACTGGTGATAAATATCAATTTAAAAAAAGTAATTTGCTGTGGTAGAAGCTAATGAGGGTCTGTTTTTTTGTTTATGAAAATACTTGTATCTCAGAAGACAAACATAAAAGCCAATGGACTTTTTGCAGTATTTTAGATGCTCTTTGGGAGACAAGATATTCTAGACAGTTCCGGAGGTAATAATACTGAAGCACTTTGATTTTTAGAATGGACAAATCAGCATTTTAGATGTATTACAATGTGGTCGGTCCACTAAATTGTCCATTAATGCAGTCCCTTTGTGCCTGTTTTTACTATCACATGATCTTTTAAAACAAAATCACATGACTTATTTAATGAGCCTGCTTGAATTTATTTGGTGAATGTGTTTGCATCGTAGTTTATGCACATTTTTCTTATTGCATAAAAACCTCTGCTCAGTTGTGTGCATATGTTTTTCATGCACAGATATGTATGCTCATCTTGGCTTGTGTTTTTAATGCTATATTGCAAAATGTGCTTAAATATAGGGGGATGGAAACAGCTAACAGGTATTGGTCGGTTCTGTTTAAGATTCTGACGGTATGATAACCTATGATAAAAATATCATGTTTCAGGATTTCACGGTGTTGTGATTTTTGAAGCATTTAAAATATTTTGGAACAATAAACTTGTAAGGCTAAATAATTCAAATGAATCATTGGTTTCTGCTGTCTTCATTTATTTCTAAAACACTGATTTCATTACAATTTAAAAGGCATTTTTGGATCTTTTCTGCTAAAGATACTGTTGTCCTTAAAAAAAAAAAAAATGTAAATAAAAAATCGTTCATATACGGTTGTAGGGCTGGACGATATGGCAAAAATGCAATCTCGATAATTATTTTACATATTGAATGATATTGAACGATAATATTTATTAAACTATATATTTTGATTGAAGTTGTTAATGCTTTCAGATTTAAAAAGAGTAGCCCAACAATCACTGAAGCCACAAAAATGGAGGTTCAAATAAATGGCCTAGCATATTTTCGGCCAATACATTTTTGGTGGCCAAAGATTTGGTACATCTCTAATATTGACACACTTTTCGATTCCCATTTATCAGCCCAGAGCTAAACTGTAGGAAAGGTATAGCAGAAAATTTTGACTGTTTTAAAACCTTGATATTTATTTATTTTTATTTTTATTTTTTCCCCAAACTGCGGTATACCTTGATAACGGTTATTGTCCCATGCCTGACAGCTAATGATGTAATATTTATGTCCTCTTTTTCTCTTGAAGAAGATTTATTTTCATGTGTATGTGCTGAATCATATGAAGAAAAAGGCATTTCAGGATAACTAAAAACAACATTTAATTTCATGTAGAGCAGGGGTCACCAATCTCATTCCTGGAGGTCCTCTGCTAAGGAACTAAAATCTGCAGGACACCGGCCCTCCAGGAACAAGTTTGGTGACCCCTGGTCTAAAGAGAACTATCTGCTGGCTGGTTAGTCACGTTTTTCAGTCACATGATATATTAAGTCAACAAAATGTTTTTGTGAAGGAAATGGTTTAATAAATGTGTTTTTGTAGTTAAGTTTTCTTTCTTTGTTGTTTAAATGAAAAAACAACAACAGTTGTATGCATCATTTTAATGCATATGCTAACAATTCATGTGCTTCTTTCTTGGTGTTTAAATTCTGTTGTATTTTTCCCCTGTGTATAATAATAGAAATGTTCTTGGTAAAATATCCCATGCAGGGTCATATTTATCATAAAAAGTGCTGCACGTGAAAATTCCATCAAAATTAAAAAAATAATAAATATGTTTATTTGATTCTAACAGAATCAATTCAAATCACTGTTATTGCTACACCATCAGCAGTCATGTGCTAGGATGAGTGAAAAGATTAGGCGCTGGCTTCAGACAGTACAAAAATACAACGACATACTCTACTAATAACAGTTAAATACAGTTTGTACTGAAGACGATAAATATGTTCAATAACACACATATGTAGATAATAAAAACACACATTACACACATATGTAGACACAATTAGACAAGTACACATTCAAAAAGGTGTATACAGCTGGAAAAATAAGTTTTGAGCATGTCGCCATTTTACTCAGAAAACATATTTGTAAAGATGCTGTTGACTTGAAATGTTCCCCGGATGTTGGTAACAACCAAAGAAATCCATATATGCAACGAAAACAAATCTAATTACAAATTATCTGTAACAAAAAATGACTTGGGTAAAAGTACTGAACAAATAATAAAAGGGAGATGTAGAAGACAGTGAAAGCCCAGACAGTAGCTGAAATCTCTCAGTAGTTCTTCAGCAATCCTCCGCCCTTTGTCATTTGTAAATTATTGTTAGCTGCTTCAGTCCAGCATCTACATTATCAGGATGATAAAGATGAAGCCAGGGTGGACATTTCAGCAAGACAATGATCCAAAACACAAGGAAACTCTCAAATGCTTTCAGAGAACGAAAATCAAGCTGTAGAATGGCCCAGCCAATCAGTGGACTTCAATCCAATAAGAAATACAAAATAAAGATCAGATTGGATAGACGAGACCCACAGAACCATCAAGATGTTTACACTGTTGAAGTCCGTGAAAAACTCAGACCTGAGAAATACATGTGACTTCATTCTCCATATGAGAGGCTGCTATCACCAAAAAAGCCTTTTATATAAAGTATTAAACACGTTTCAGTAGTTCAGCACTTTCTCTGTGTGTCATTTCGTTGTTCTTAAACATAACTCATTTTTCAGATTGTTTTGTTTTTTATTTTTATGTTTGTATTGTTTGTTTGGGCTCTTATCAAAATCTGGTTCAATTCCATGTCAACAGTTCTTTTTAAAAATGTTATTCCCACAAAAAACATGACGTATTCAATACTTATTTTCCCCGCTGTAGTTTGACTGTTGGTGGATGATTAAACTCTGATGTGAGTAAAACCTTTTAAAGTGAGTAAAAAAAAAAAGATAAATTCGCAGACATTACAAGACCAACATCTTAAATAAATGCATTTTAATTATGTGCTTTAGTACAGCATTCAAATAATTTGAGTTTTTAAATAGCATGTTAACACGTTTCTTTTGTTTGTGTAGAAAATGCGGAGTCTGCTGAACTCAAGCACCTCTTTGAGCAGAATTACTCCCACATCTACTATGTCTTCTTTGAAAACTTTGTCACCATCGAGGTTAACCTGAAACAGAAAGGTAAGACCTGGAGCACTTCATTTTCTTTGTTGTTTAAAGATATAATTCTTTGCGCTCTTGTTTGTTATTTGAATGTTTTGCAAAGTTGCATTGCTTTGCAGTTGACCTACTCCTGGTTGTCCTCTTTGCAAACACAGAGTCAGGAGTCACAGAGTTAATGAGGAAGTTTCCATGAAATGGCGTTTGAGGAAAATTAGCTTGCCTCTGGTTAGCCATGTCTGGTCACACAAGCTCGTTATAGTGCACAGAGATCGCGGCTAGTGTCTCGCAACACTGCACAGTCGCTCATTGAGTATTCAGAGAACTGCTCGCTGCCTTTGACCTCTCATTTGATATCTTTACATTGCGTCTAGTTCTGCTGCATCTGTAGCTGGTTCAGATTGTTATCCTTGCTCAGTGTTTACCTGTTGTTTATAATTGAATTTCTAAGTGTTGTATGACTTGGTGTTGCAAACCAGTATTTTCTTAATTTTTTTATTTTTATGTTTTGGCATAAACACTTTTTTGTTTTTGTTTTTACTTCGATATATAACTTTATCTTAGTAGTTCAGCCAGACTTATTTATTTTATTGAGATTGTTGTGCCATTATTACGGTAGTTTATTTTTATTTAATGGCTTAACAACTTGCTTGTTCTTCTGATTTATTTCACTATGGGAAAAATAACAAGGAAATCTTTCAATAACAATTTTTTGTGTTGTACTTAATTTAGTTGTGCTCATTTTGATAAATTTTGTCAACTGTCAACTGCCGCTCGTTAACCGAATATTAACCGTTAATTGTCAACAGATTAATATTAAAACATTATTTAATTAAAAAATTTATATGCCTATTTTGTGTGATGCATTAAATATTGCATTTTAAAATATTTATTTTAACATGCGAACAGCATTCAGAACATAACAGAGCATCTTCACGCACCTATAGTGTTTTCAGCAGCATAGAAAAACAGAATAAACTAGACAAAAAGAATAAAGTAAATCCTTGTCTAGATCTTTTTTCACTTGAATGACCAATTTAGATTACAAAACGGAAACACTGAATCCTTTTTAAGAACCGGCAAATGCTGTATGTCCATTCATGTTTTTTTTTTCTTCTGTCAAATAAAAATATCAGGCTACCTCAAATAGATCGCTCCATGGAAAATATGCATTTAATTAATGCTCCGCTGTTAGTATTATACTACAAAATCTGTCAACATTTTTAAGGGAAGTATTTATTTTATTTTTTTGTCTTTCAAAAACATTTAGGCCAAACTCTATCCAAACATAATCTTGCACAAACTGACTGAGACATGTCAGATATACAGTGGATCAAATATAAAACCATAACATTACACTGTAAAAATCGTATGTGCTATTTACTTAAAAATACTCTGTGCAATAGTGTAACCACAAGTTTTTGAAGTAATTTTTAAAACTAAGCAATTAAGCAAAAACCACTTGAATGAATCAAGTGAAAATTGATAATTTTTTTGAGCGATAGATAGATGATAAATTTAATATTATTACTGGAATTTGCTTTTATAATTTATGCAAATCCACCACCATTTACTCAATTTAATTTTTTTAGCAAAAAATACTTAAAGGAATCATGTGAAAATTAGTATTTTTCAGTGATATAATATGATTTTAATATTGTTAGTGGAATGTGCTTTTATAATTTAAGCAAATTAACCACCATTTACTCAAACTTATTGATGAAAATTATTCATTTATAAAATCTAATATATGCAATAATGAAATAAATACACAATGCATTTTTGCCAAATATCATTTTATTACATGTTCCACTGATAACAAAATGGTACATACAGTTTGTTAAACAAGTTAATTGGTTTCTCAAATTAAGCCTAATAATTGCACTGGTTTGCTTTAAAATAAGTCAAATTCACCCCTTTTTATTATTTTTTTTAGCAAGTTCTTCTCAATATTTTTTAAGAAATCCAGAATATCAAAAAGTATGCACATTATTTTTAATGAACACTTCATTATTTTTTATGAAAATTACATGCCTCAAGATAAATTTTTTACTGTTTAGACAAAAACAATAACAACAAACATACAAACAAATGAACCAACAACAAAATAAAATATTTTTAAAAAGAAAAAAAAACAACATGCGTGCATACATCAAACAGAAACTGTAAGGGGTCAAATAAAACGATATTCTAGAAACTAATCATACAATCGTTTAGCCTTCTCACCCTTCGTTATTTTTAAAGCTTCTACTTAGGTGGCAAACTCCTTTTTAAACACAACCAATTGAGGAGTTTAATAGAAGTCATTAGTTTAAAGATTATGTCTTAATTATGATTATGACTTATTTGCTCTGTCTCACGGTTCATGTGTGCGTGTGCTGCGTGTGATGACAGAAAATGACAATGAAGCTTAAAGCTTAAAATGTTGACTTTTAGTAAAGTATAGGCTACTACAAAGCGTATAACAATTTTGTTTTATTGGCATATGATATTGCATTACTTTACATACATGTTTTATAAGCTGTAAAATGAAAGCCTCCGTTTGGTGTGAAGTTATCATTATGCAAAAATCAAGAAAAACTTTAGATTTGTTTGATTGGTAGATTAGGCTATTTAAAAATGTATATTATATAAGAACTATTAATAACTGTAATAACATTTGTCTAAATGGAAAAACGCTCGTTTGTTGGTTGTAGCCCACACTAAATTATCAGTAGCCTATTTGTTGAGTTTATAACGCGGCTCCATGCAGCACACAGACGATCAGCATCACCACTGGTTTGTCAACTCGTCTGTGTCAAGCTAACCAGAAATACAGCTCTGGGTGACCTGAAACAGCGACCACTAGTCTCTCCTCCATAATTAATAGTTCCCTGTAGTCGTCTTGACAAAACAAACACTGCTGTCACCTCAAAAGAAACCCCGCTTCTGCTTTCATTTGATAAAGAATGAAAGATGCGACTGAGGTAACATAGAGGGCAATGCCAACCATTAATTGGTTACAAACGCACCCTTTCGCTTAGGGTTGTCAAAATTAATTGTTTCTTCGGTGCACCGCGATGCAGACGTGGACAATTCGGTATCTTTTCAGTAATAATCATAACCGGTTATTATGTACTGACGTCATTCACCTCATATGGGCTGTGTGGCGAGGGAGGTGAGCGCGGGTATTTATAACACTCCTAGTGCCAACTGTGCACAATTTCACTGCGTGTGTGTGATATCTGTACAGTTTTTTATTGACAATTACAGCAGAAGCACCTATTCTCTGCGATTGAGGGAATGAAAGTACTCCATTTCCCTCTCTCTCTCTCTCTCTCTCTCTCTCTCTCTCTCTCTCTCTCTCTCTCTCACTGTGGCCCATTTTACCTGCTGGCGTGACCTTTCCTCTCGGCTGTCTGCATTCCCGCGGCTGTACCTATGCATTGTCGCGGGACCCGACCAGTTTTCATGTGGCGTGGGAATAAATTTCAGAGTAAATCGCGGGAACCACGATTAGGCGAACCACCTACTTTCGGTTAATGGTTAACCGGTTATTCTGAGCATCCTTTACTTAAATGTTTGTGCAAATTAAAATGGAAATGTTTTTACTTTGGTATTTAGCTTTAAAATTTCATCTCAGCAGGTTTTTTCATTTCAATGAGATTGTTGTACTATTTTAGTTTATTTTTATTGGCATAAACACATGTTTGTTCTTCTGATTGATTTATCTATAGGAGAAATGAGGAAGTTCTTAAACAGTCGGAGTTTTTGTGTTGTACTTGAATGTTGTGCAAATAAAAGCGGATGTTTTTACTAGCTGTAAAAATGTAGGTATGTAAGTAGTTCAGCAGAACATTTTTATTTAAAAATGAGATTATTTTTTATTTTTGAGACATTTTTATTTTTATTTATGAGATTGTTGTATTACTGCAGTAGTTTATTTTTATGTATTGACATAAACACTTGTTTGATTTTTCTAGTCATTTCTCCCATAGGGAAATCAATCGGAAGTTCTTAATCACATATTTTCTTGTGTCGTAATTGAATGTTTTGGCAAATTAAAATGGATATGTTTTTACTCTAGTATTTAGCATTACAACTTCATCTTAGTAGTTCAGCAGGACATTTGCATTACATTGAGATTGGTGTATTATTACAATAGCTTTTTTAATGTATTGGCATAAACACTTGTTTGTTTTTCCTAGTCATTTCTCCCATCAAGAACTAAATGATCATTTTTGTGTTGCAATTAAATGATTGTGCAGATATGTTTATAATCTATTTAGCTATGAAAGTTCATCTTGGTAGTTCATCAGGATAATTTCATTGAGATTGTTGTATTATTAAAGTAGTTTATTTTTATGTATTGACATGAACACTTGTTTTCTCCCATAGAGAAATGAATCAGAAGTCCGTAAACAATCACATTTTTTTGTGAATGTTTGTGAAAATTAAAATAAACATGTTTTACTCCGGTATTTAGCTATAAAAGATCATCTTAGTAGTTCATCAGGACATTTTAATTTTAGTAAGATTGTTGTAGCATTATTACAGTCAAATTTAAAATTACTGTGTGGAGTCAGTTTACATTAACACAGCCCACTTATATTGCTTGCATTGACAGCACCTTAGTGTTGTTTTCTCAGCTATTTTAAACAGTTGTTTTAATCCTTTGACAATTGTACTGTTTTTTTCATGTTTAGTCAACCTTGACCTGTTTTAGTTTTGCCCATTTTTGGTTGACAGATTTTGAGCATTTTAGTGTAGTCAATGAAAGTATATTTACAATCCCGTCATGCTGATTAAGGATGAATGTATGCTTTTGTTTTGGTACATGGTTTGTTTTGTCAAATCTAGTTTCCTGTTCGTAATCTATTTATCATACACTGCAAAAAATACTGGCTTCCACACAATCGATTTGTGAACATAAATGTTCAATTCACTTAATTTAGTAAAAACTAATAAGTGAATTTATTCAAGTTGTCCTCAAAAAGCACAAGAATTGTTTTGTTTCAGTTCATTTTAAATAAGTAGTTTGATTGAACAGCAAATGTAAGTTTTTAAGTGTAGAAATTAGCGCATGTTTCGTCAGATTTAATTAGTTTAATTACCACCAAGCAGTTGCATTGCAATATAAAATGAAGTGCAATGCAATTCTGCAATCGACAGCATAAAATGCATTTCCATACAGACTTTAAATGATCAACTTTTGGTTAAATGTGCACTTAAAAGCTGAAAATCGTTCATTATAATTGATTAAGAAGATTGTTTGGAGTAGGTCTTGATGCCACATGTTTGAATGGCCCTTGTTTCCAGAGCAGATACGTAATTCTTGTTTGTTGAGCTATTTATAGCAGCCCTGTGGGCTTTTTGAGATCCCTTGGTGACGTTCAATGTGTTTTTTTGTCGTTTTCTTTTTCTTGTAGGTCACAAATCCCAACGGGAAGAGCTCGATTCCATCCTTTTTATATTTGAGGTAAGGCATGTAGATAATTACCCGATGGATACTTAAAAACATTAGCTTAGTTTATTTACATTGTGTCACTCCCTTCCACCATTCCACTTCCTACTACCCAACATTCCTTTCTATTTAAAATGTTGCAAGATTTTGTTGAATATTTATCATTGACTATATTAAAAGATCTTTATATATATATATATATATATATACATACATATACATATACAAAACACTTCATTGAACATTCACACATAGACATCGCCTATGTTTAGTAAGTTTAACTGTTAAAAGCTATTAACTAAGGATATTTACATGATATTAACACTAAGGAGTGATATTAACACTAAGGAGTTTTTCTACTGGCCCAATTGGGCAAGTGGTTGAGATTTTTACTTGCCCCGCCAAAATATTCACATTTCCCCACCCCCCCAAAAAAAAAGTTAATGGCTATTTCTTAGCCACGTATTTTAAATATGTTATATAATATATCTGCTTTGATGTTATTCAGGACATCATCTCAATGATCCCAAAAATAATGCCTGTGAATTTAGGATTTAAATATTTTTTAAAAATAATAATAAATGTATAATAAGCGTGAGCTTCGAGGTTTTGATTTCGTTAATTGCTTGTTTTGTTCATTGTGTTGTATCCATATAAATGTCTGCTTCTAAGACATTAAAAACAGCCATTTTTTTTTTTGCCTCATAATTTGTTGTTGCTATATCTTCATTCTTTGTACTGGTTGTTACCAGGTTACAAAAACAACGTGCTCATCCACATCCAATCAGATAAGAGGAACCGAAAAGTAATATGGTGTTTACGACATCACAGAGAAGGTGGCATTTAAATGGTTAAAAGCGCAAAATATTTCTCGATTCTAAGACTGTATTTGCATGCAATTGACAAATAGTCGCAAGCAAATTAAACTTTTAGTGACAAGGCAGCACTGGCCAGATCGTCCCGGTAACGATTTGGTCTACTGTTCTGAGCGTCTGCCATCAGGCAGTCCTTATTGTTGAGCCCTGTGTTAGTGACTAATTTATTAGTTAAAGTTATTAGTTACTAATAAAGTTATGGTAACTAATAATCTTAAAGGACATTTATGATGAAAAACATCTTTTGTAAGCTGTTTGGAAAGAACTGTGTGAGGTATAGTGTGTCCACTAAAATACTGGAGTGATATAAACCCAATAAGTCAGATTTTTTTTTAATTTCCTGACATTAAAATAGGATTAAAATCTCTCCCAGTTTGAGGCCCATCATGACATAGGAGTGCAGTTTTCTCGCCGACCGAATTGATTTGACAGCCCCATATTAACATGTCTCTGTAGTAACGCTTATAATCATATCAACAAGACAGGATGTGCACAGAGCAACCAGAATCAAAAGATCTGTTCAGCTCTCTGTGATCATCAATCATCATCAAATGTGAAGAATAAGTTTTACAAGTTTAAAATGTTTTCAAAACACTGCATGTCTGTAATGAATTACAACCGTCTTTATCACCGCAGCCGCATGTCAGTACAATTTAAAAGAAGACTATTCAATCCTAAATTGTGGACGTTAAATCAGGTTTATACATTAACATAACGGATATACATACAGCAGCGGATATTAACATGTATCCTGTCACATTTGTCTGCAAAAACAATGCAAAGTTAAACGTGTGCACTGTGTATGCATGAACTTTATAATAACGTTGTGTGTGACTCGTCATCGTTGCAACTCCATAAGAAATACATCAAATAATCATTGGGAAAGTTCTTACTGTAGTTTTTCTTACAAATGTTACGTGAGATCTACTTCCTTCATGTCTGTCACTGTGCTCAGGGGCGGACTAGCCATCTGGCAATTCTGGCAAATGCCAGAAGGGCCGGACCAATTTTTAAATGTGGGCCGTTCAGTTTTTTTTAACATTTTTTAATATGTATTGTTTTTAAGTGAAGACAGCTTTTATCTCTTGCTAGATGCTATTATGATGATGATGATAATAATAATAATAATAAATGTTAAGCATTTGGCCCAATCGGCAATTGCCGCCTGGTTTCAAGATGGGCCGACCCAATCCGAGGTTACCTGGACATAATCAAAATCTGGCAAGAATGTCATATTATTTCACCATCTGTACACCAAAATAAATAGTGAATGTGCGTGTCCGTGGGTGGGGCTGTGTCGGTGTGGTAATTTGTGTGGCTACAGTGCCAGGGCTGAGTTTTTGTCCCAGTCCGCCCCTGACTGTGCTGTTTATCTGACGCAGCCGAGGCGGAGATTGAGCCTCACTCTGACAGACTCGGGGTAACTGTGGGCAATAACAACTAGCATTAAAGGCACAGGCCACAAAAAAGCTATGTTGTGTTTAGAGCAGAGAGTTCTAATCTTCTAAAAGGTGTAATAATTAATCTGATGGCTTTTTTTGAGCTGAAACTTTACAGGCACATTCTGGAGACACAAAATACTTCTCTTAGATCTTGAAAAAGGGTAAATAGGCGTCCTTCATATAAAGCTGCTTTGAAACAATAATTATTGTGAGAAGCATTATACAAATCGAATTGAATTGTATATTATTTGGATAAAGCTTGTTTATTAAGAAACTGCTTTTTTTTTGTAAATTATGTATTGAAAGTTGCCATGATTATAAATAATATGGCATTAAAACATAACAGAAACAAACCCAACACTTGTCTCTTCTCACAGTTGAGTTTTTCTGTATTTGCTGAAGCATCAGTGTCATCAGTAGGGCCAGATATAATCTGCACACATTTTTGCTATTTCTGCAGAGAATTTTGTAAAAAATCTGTGGATTTAATATATTAAATAAAAAAATAATACATTTTTAACTTTTATTTAATGTTTACAATGCAGATCCAATTAGATCCTCTTATTTGGTAAACAAAACAAGTCTCTCATATAATATATCTACTGAAAGGCACAAACTGTATTGAAAATAAATCGTATAACCATTTTAATATTGCTGTTATTATATCACAAGAAAATTAGTGAAACGAATTTAAAAACTGAATAAATAAAAATGTACACACATCCACACAAGTAAATACATAGACTTAATGATTGGCTAAAAATCAGCGTATTTCCGCGTGTGCAGATTCCGTGTGGGCCTAGTCATCAGTAAAGAGATCATTGATAAGAAAAGATTGACATGCACCTGACAGATAACTGATGTGTCTCTCAAACAAAAAGAAAAAAACAGGTGTTCTTTGCCTCACCCAAAAGGCTTATGAGTCACACTTAAGCTTTTCGCTCGGCTGGTTTGCCCCATGGGCTATTAGTAATAGTGAAAATTGAAGATGCTTCTTTAAACGCACCATTATGATGAGACAAGTGTGATTTCTGCACATAAGGAAGCTATTGCAACATTGCAGCCTGTAGTGTCACATGGAAGCCCAGTAATGCGTGTTTGCACAAATCTGCTCATCTGTTTTGAAATGTAAATATAAGCTACGAGCTACGCTCATATAGTAATCTCTTGAGATGTTTTAATGCATGTACTAACATGAGTGAATATATTGGCTTGTCTGCAGTCAAATCCATATGCTTACATTGCAGAAAATCCTACAGCTGTTACCAGAGCGAATACAAGGAAGATGGCAGTTCCACAGCATAGGTGAACATTTATATTTCTTTAAAATATATATATTATTATTAGCATTTCATGAGAAAGCAATAAGTTGACATTGTGTTTTCTGTTTTTATATATTTTTAAAATGTACATAATTTATGTGATTTAGTGTCAAGTGATACTTCAGAAAACGTTTTAATAAGCTTATGTAGTGCATAATAAACATTATAAATGAATTTACCAACATTTTTAAAATCAATTTAATTTTTAATTTATCTCAGACTTTTGAATGGTTTTGTAAAATAACAATGAAATTTGGTAACACTTCCATTAACATGGTCCATTAATTAATGCATTTACTAACATTAAGTATGAATAATTTTGTAAAGCTTTAATAAATTATAGTTCAGCATTAACTAATGCATTTTTTAAATCCAAAGTTGTGCTTGTTAACATGAGTTAATGCACTGAGTTAACATGAATTAACGTAATTGAACTTAAATAACATTAACAAAGATGAATTAATACCGTAATGTATAACTAATGGTTTGTTCATGTCAGTAAATACATTAACTAAGATTAACTAATGGACCATTATTTAAATAATTTTCCTTTAACTTTCTCTATAATTTTGTAAATTGGAAAACAGAATACATTTTCTAATTAGTAGGGGTATAATATATTTACTAACTATAAAATATAAATAATTTTTTTAACTAATATTAATAATAATTAAACTATCTTTTGCTAAGTGTATTTTTATTTCCTTGGCTAATGGCTATTTATGTTTGTCATAGATAAATACGCTAAATATGCCAGTAGACATATTGAGTCACTCATTCAGATGTTTTGTTCAAAACAGCAGATTAATTTAGAAGTTACTGGCTTTATGAATGGATAATTTGGTCACACTTTATTTTGATGGTTGGTTTGTTGAATTTAAGTTTCATTGCATCTACATGTCAATTAATTCTCATTAGATATTTTAGTAGAATGTTAGGTTTGGGGTTAGGGTTAGTGTAAGTTGACAGGTACTTGCAATTTTTTTTCTAGTCAGTTAAATGTCTGTTGAAGGAGCAGTATCAACAGATATTAAGCAGACAGTCTACTAATACTTAAATGGACCATCAAAATAAAGTGTTACCTTTATTTTTTCAAATGAGAGGATGAAGTTGCATTTTGGAATGAAATATTGCAGTGCTATGTCCAGGAAAAAGTTTTATGTCTAAAATGTAACTTACTCGCATATTTGCAGTTGAGCTCACTTGCTGACATTCTTGCTTATGTGATATTTCTTAACTATATTATGTATTGTAAATATAAGCATACAAGAATATTTTTGCTTTCATAATTTGAATGATTGGATCATTCTAGCTGCATTCTAATAGGTTTCAACATGCATAGAAAAATTAAGTATTTAAACAATGTGTGTTATTATATGTATATATACAGTTAGTGACAGTTTATAATGACCAAAGGGATTATTAAAATGTTTTTAGGTGTAACAGCAGTTTGTGAAAATGCCGCCAGGGTGCACAAAGGAACGGGATGCAAACAAGCAGAAACCTACCTGATCTGTAAATGCCCTGCTACTTGTAAATGAAGATGAAATAACAAAATAAAGCATTATAATTCCATCATAAATCATAAAACTTACTAACAAGCTATATACATATTATCCCAGGTGAACAATGTTGCGCACCCTTTGCTATTTAGGGTACAAAACTCAAATTGAACATGGAAAAGATGCATTTTAACACATTTTATTTTTCCACCTGGTCATATAGTACTCTTAAAACCTAGAGTTTTCCGGTGGTCTCTCCTTTTCCTCTGCTCTGAAGTCTTATAGCAGCAGGATACACAGACCACCAAGATAAACACAGAGAATGCCAAGGACCTGGGGCCCAGAAACACCCAGATCTGACCGAGAACTCTGACATTACTGTTCTTCATCACTGACTGATGAGATAAACAATTCATAGGCTCTGTATAACATGCAGGATAAAACATTTGAAGTCATTTTTTATCAATAAGCCCACAAGCAAATAAACATCACTGACAGATTATAAGCAAAAAGGCCAGAATTGTCAAGCTAGTTCACTAATCAGCTCATTTGGAAGCTATGGTGTTAGTTTCTCGGATTAAACCACTGTCGTTTCCGATAGGTCTCATTTTGAAGAAACTGTTACACACTGGAAACTCCCTAAAGGTATTATATCTCAATAAATTATTTACAATTTTTATTTGTTAATGTATGAGTGATTGTTCTTTGTTAATTTTTTTTTCACCATTTGCATTATGATATAATCTTCATAGCAAATGTTTTAGTCTGCTTACTAAACAGTGAAATACTTTAAGTCAGTAATTTGGTGGTATGCATGTGTGCTGTTTAGATCCGGAGGGAAGGGGTGCGTCTGTTCCTTCTGTGGATGCAGGCTCTGCAGCACAATGCTTTAAGAGAGCAGCTTTGGATCTTTGCCTGTCTGATCCCAGGATTCCCTGCACCACAGTCCGAGCTGGGCCCTCGAACCCTGGATAATTTGATCAGCCCTCCTCTTAACCTTCAGGAGCGTAAGTGTTTGTTTGTTGTCTCCCAAAGCGTATTTCTCAATTAAATAAAGACTAAAACCTGAGGAGCGTGGTCTTGCACATGTTTTGTTTTATACAGTATATATTTTTTTAGTTTTACTTTCGTAATTAGTCAGATTAGTCTCACCAAAAAATCCTCATTTTATTTTCATGATCATTTTTCATCTGCCCTCCGACTCAAACAATTAAATGCGATCTGTTTACCACTGTATCTGTATGATTTAAGTAATAGTATAACTAACTTTGCATGTGAAATATGGCTTGTGTATTTATATACATATATATATATATATATATATATATATATATATATATATATATATATATATATATATATATATACATACATACACACACACACACACATATATATATATAACTATGTGTATGTATGTGTGTATGTATGTATCTATGTATGTATGTGTGTGTGTACACACTCAGCAGACTCCGAAATGAGATGCAAATTCAGAGTTCCACATGAGATGGTTATTAATTAGCAAATAATATAAATATTATGAATGTAAACATTGGGTGAGCATGTTGCATTGTAACCCCATGTCCCAACAACATGCTACATGTCGAGATTTGCAGTGATAAGCAGTTTGGCTGTTTGCACCAGTCAAAACACAATAGAAATGTAAGTACAGCCATTCAATAGCACAGAATAGTGCACTCACTGCACTCCAATGAAATGGTAAGGTTTATAACCCAATTAATGTATATCAAACCTCTTCAAGATTATTAAATGTACATGCCAAATCACTGATATGTGTTGGCTTGCACAAAATCACAGTTCTAAAGATCAATTTCAAATGATTTATTTTATTTTCTGATTTAAGGTGAACTATTTGCTGCTGCTTGCAGTAGTATGGCAATAAATGTGATGTAAAATGGAATTCAGACTCACATTATTAGCATTTAACACTGAATAAAGCACATAAGTTGTACCTGAGGTAGTTGTCAGTTTATTTTGTTGTTCAGCTGCAAGAAATAGTAGTCATTTCTAATATATAAATTTCAGATGTTGGTTAAAACAAAAACTCCTTTTAATATGGAAAATATATGTTCCACGCGTACCGTTGCTTAAATTAGGAACATGATTTAGTTCAGCTTTTAGGATCGACAGTCAGGTATGCTGTTGATGTCATCAATCTGGCAACCTGCATTTGTGTGTGTTTTTAACCAGGGGTGCAATAAATAGTTCCACCACTGGGTGTCAAACTTACAAACTGCACCTGTAAAGCATATCTTTTTATCTATCACTGCAGCTCAAGTGACTCCAGAGGAGATCAGTCCCCTTGTCCCTCCCCAGTCAGGAGATAAATCCCAGGAGGATCTCACTGGCTACTTCCTGGAGGCTTTGCTAAAATACATGGTAAACCAGGTACTCCCCTCCTCCTACTAACACTGCTGATGCTAACATGGCTGGCGCAGACCTAAAGCTTAACCCGCTAGAGCAAACTTACACACCACTGACCCCAGATCTGCATGTACATGATGCCAGAAACCCTTGCAGGAGCGCTGCGGTGTGTTTTCCTGGCGCTGCAACAGCTGCTCTGCTTCACACCCTTTCCAGCATAAACAACAAGAGCACCACGCACTGCCTGACTCCACCAAACCCCACTGTCCTCCACAAAACACAAACAGGCTTTTCTGTCCCAGCTGCTGTGTGTGTGCTCAGCTTGCCATGTGTGATCTGTGCCCCTACAGGCCAAAAGTCTGGAGTGGAAGTGCAAGGAGAACCACGAGAAGGGCTTCGCATTTCTGTTCGCCAACTTTAAAAAGTATTACCTGCCCCATATCTTCCCCAACTTCTCCAAGGAGACCAGTTTGTACAACCCTATTTTGGGTATGCATCCTTCTTTGTCAAAGTAAAGCATGTTCTAGTTGTTTTTGATAAATTCTTTTTGCTGGTATGATTCCTCAGGATGATCACTGCAAAAATGCCTTTCGTACATAGATTTTTTTTGTCTTGTTTCTTGTCCAAATTTTTTAAAATTCTTAACCAAGAAGTTAGGCTGCACAACTTATCGGTTGATCATCAATATCGCAATGTGATCAGTCACAATAGCAGGACATGCAATGTTGATTCTGGATTATAATTCATCATTTGCATGCGTTTTTGAATCCTGTGACTGTATGAGGATTGTGAATACAACGAAGACTATGCAATATTATTTTACATCTAAATATTTAATTACTGTACCTGAATACTGTTAGACTCCTGGGAAAACTATAATTACCGGTTTATTTAATTTGTATCTTTTTCTTTATTGGATTTTTCTGTGCTTGCATTGCAAAAACTGATTCTCTCACTTAGAGTTTTTGTCTAGTTTCTTGTTCAAATATCTACTCCTACTCCTTATTCCTCAATAAAGAAGAATTTTCTAGACCAAAACAAAAATATTGTCTTGTTTTCAGAAATAAAATGTCAAAAATAAGTGAGTTTTTTCTTAAAACAAGCAAAATAATCTGCAAACAGTAAGCAAAATAATGTAATTTCAAAGCAAATTCAAGGGTATTTTGCTCACCCCACTGGCTGATTATTTTGCCGTTTTAAGGAAAAACTCATGTCATTTTCACTCATTACTTCTCAAAACAAGACAGTGTTTTTTACTTGTATAGAAAATGTTTCTTAATTTAAGAATTTTGAGATATTTGGACTAGAAAAAGACAAACACAAGTAAGAAAATCAGTTTTTGCAATGTGGGGATTGTTTATTAAGGTTTATGCAGATGCACCTACAGAATTATCCCAATCAATCTAAACAAAAATCATCAATTATTTCCAAATAGTATTATTTAAGTTATCTGGTGAAATTGTATTCATGTCACAATGAGTATTGCAGGATAACTAAATATTGCAATTTTAGATTTTTCCTATATCATTTTTTATAATTATTTTTTTAGAGGTTTTACACCTTTATTTGGAAAGGACAGTAGAGATTGCAGACAGGAAAGTATTGGGAGCAGAGAGAGGGGAAGGGTCTGCAAAGGACCTTGAGCCGGAAATCGAACTCCGGTCGCCGCGAGCACCAAAGTGCTATATGTCGGCACACTTAACCACTTAAATTCTTCTTGATTTCAAAATCTTTTGATATTTGGACTATAGACAAGACAAAATAAATCTAATTAAGGCATTGTATGCGATTTATAAAATGTCTAATTTGGTTCCTCTGTCCTTTTTTATTATAGAGGTTCCACCCATGAGACCAAAGCCTTACTACATGGTTGTAAAAAGAGACCCAGAGACCAATGAAGCACTGTACTGCACTAAAGAGAACTTCCTCAATGCCAGAGTCATATTCATCCGCTGGCTGGTCTCCTTCTGGCTGGAGCCGCGGTCGAACACAGGAACACAGATCCCCGGCATGGAAGGAGAAAATGTGCCAAAGAATATCCAGGTAGCATGTACACATCATGTATGGTGCAGTGATGGTAGTAAAAGCACTTTTAGGGTTGAACTTTGTTTAACTTTTCACATTACCTAGAGCTGCACAATGAATCGAAGGTGATTGTGTGCGCATTTTGTCAGTAAAGCCGGTTCTGTAATAAGCAATACATCTCCAGCATGTGCTTTCAGACAGAGCAGCACTTACCATACAGAGCTGTAATTTACCAAGCTATGAAAAAAAATCATGTTTATAATCAATTACTGGGGCCATTATGAAAATAAAAATAATCGTACTGTGATAATGACAGCCGTTGGCATAGCTTCTCAGTGCTAAATCTGAAAGCATGTGAAATTACCACGTTTAATTACATTTTTACTCCAAACTCACTTCATAACTTTAGTCGAGTGTTTGAAATGAATCTTTCTGTGAGATGATTCTGTAGTCCTGCGTTTATTAGTTACATTGAATTAATGAAAATCGATAAATCTTCTGTTTATTTAACAACTACTTTGGGGATTTCTTGGTTTTTTTTATGAGTTTTGAGTTTCCATGCACACAAATTCCTTCTTGCTTTTTAACTGACATTTACTGCTAATCAAACACCTTTACTTCAGTGACAAGATGACCGCTCAGCCCTACCCATAGCCTTAACTGATAAGAAATACATTTGTTATTGCTTCTGAAGCCATGATAGATGTTGTTTTGGTGCATTATGAAATTGCATATCACCCTGCAGCCCAAGATTGGTTACTCACTGAAGCTAAGCAGGGCTGAGCCTGGTCAGTACTGTGATGGGAGACCACATGGGAAAACTAGGTTGCTGTTGGAAGTGGTGTTAGGGAGGCAGCATGGGGCACTCAACCTAATGCCCCAGTAAAGGTGAAGGGGTGAACAAGGGGGGGGATGAGACGTTAAACCGAGGTCCTGACTCTCTGTGGTCATTAAAAATCCCATGGCACTTCTAGTAAAGAGCAGGGGTGTAACCCCATCCCCGTTTGCGTGTCCTGGGCAAAGTCCTATAATCGGCCTGTACAATCATGGCCTCCCAATCATCCCCATCTACCGAATTGGCCCAATCATCCCCATCTACCGAATTGGCTCTATCACTGTCTCTCCACTTCACCAATAGCTGGTGTGTGGTCAGCGCACTGGCGTCGTTGTCCTGTGGCTGCCGTCGCATCATCCAGGTGGATGCTGCACACTGGTGGTGGTGTGGAGAGACCCCCCCTCATGACTGTAAAGCGCTTTGGGTGTATGGCCATACACAATAAATGCGCTATATAAATACACATTAAATTACATTACATTAAATTGAAAGTCTACAAACATTATTCACTAAACACAATCAACGAATAATCCCCATAATGCATTTTAAACAATCATGAAAATCATCAAGTGTGCTCATTCAATCTCATAAGTCTCCACAATAGAAGTGCATATTTGATAAACATAGAATGGTAAGAATTACCAATAATACTCTTTGAAACTGTAGTGGACATTATTGTGTGCACATTCAATCATGTAATGCACTGCAATAACAAGTGTACAACTGAAAAACATGAAACGGTTAGCGAATACTATACTATGAGCAGAACCTTTCAAGTTTATGCCATTCTCAACTGGTAATTTAAAGGCGCTCAAAACATTTATTGAGTCTTAATGTTTGACCTTACACATTTAAAGAGCTCCTATTTTACCCCTTTACAGGATCTCAGACATGGGTGCTCAATCCTGTTCCTGGAGATCTACCTTCCTGCAGATTTCAGTTGCTACCCATATCAAACACACCTGCCTGTAATTATCAAGTGGTGTTCAGGTCCTAATTAATTGGTTCAGCTGGGTTTGATCAGGGTTGGAGCTGAAATCTGCAGGAAGGTAGATCTCCAGGAACAGGATTGAGCACCCCTGATCTAAGATAAGTCTTTGGTGTCTAAATTGCACCTTTCAAAATGTTTGAAACTTCTAAAACTCATTCATGTGATGCAGCTGATCACAGAGAGTTGGAACAGATCTTTTAATCACATTTTCTTTGCGAATACTGTTCTGTGGACGTTTATGTGTTAAGCCTGGTTTAAACTTCTGTGTCAAGTGATCGATGTGACCCATGGCACATGCAACGCGCTTAGCTGTGCATTCATACTTATGCGCGCTGTTTCTGTTGCTCTGCAATAGCACTTCCAAAACGCTAGTTGTCAGTGAGGTGTTTATGTTCCACTATGTCAAGTTTCTTCGCTGGTGTTTTGATTTTTCTGAACGCTTACAAGTGGTTCAAACTCGCTCATTTTGAGGCAGGAACTGGCGGACGTGCAACAACTTTAACCATGAGGTAAACACAAAACAAAACTTTTCATTTATAGCTCCTTCACTCGACATGCTTGCGCAACTCTCGGCCCCGCTCACGCTCGTCAGCGCTACCAAGCCGACCAATCACAGAGTTTGCGCTACGCGTTGTTGCGATGTTTAGTTACATTTTTTTGAGAGGTGCACGTTAGTGATGCTGGTGGCCATGGCGAGGGCTATGTGTCCACGCGTAGGCTACGCCGTACCATGCGCGTGCATTTGACGCAGAAGTAAAAATCAGCCTTTAGTATGGCAACATTAATAGGTGCCTGTCAATCAATTTGGTGGGTGGGGAAAACTGAACTTCATCATCACATTGCGGTGAGCCTCAAAATCACTGGGATTTGGATACTATTTTAATGTCAGACACACACTGTACCTGCACACAGCTCTGTCCAAATAGCAAAAGTTGATTTTGCATTATGGGTGTCCTTTTAAAGTCAGAGTGAAAGAAAGTTGCTGAGACTTTTATTTCAGTATGTTGATGTACTTCCAATTGGGCTTTCTTTTTTTGCATCATTCCCTCATAGAAACTAACATTAAGAGGGGCATGGTTAAGAATATTGGGGCATAAGCTGTAAAACAGATGTCAGTAGAGAAGGACTGACACTTCAAATACAAAAGCAAATGATCAGACTTTGATTGATCTGATTACCAAATCAGATTAACTGTTAACCTAAAGATTAACAACACACTTAAGCAAAATAAATATTGTAAATTTTGATTTCACACTTGGGTTTTTAACTTCTTGGAATTGTGTCTGGATTTACAGTTAGTTCAGTAGCTCTTTTGCCGATATTTCAGAGAGCGGCAGCAGGCCTAGCAGCTCGAGGAGAAGATGGCGGCCCACGACAGGACAGTCTGGATGGTGGTGGTATTGGCGAACCAGAGCAGTCGCACTCCAACACCAGCACCCTGACGGAGAGAGAGCCCAGCTCCTCCAGCCTCTGCAGCATGGATGAAGAGCACCTCACCGACATCGAGGTGGTGCGCCGGGTCCTGTGCTCCTCCAGAACCAACGTCAACTTCATCACAGAGATATTTCGCCAGGTAAGTCAGGAGGAACAGAAGAACTACAGCGCATTTACATATCAATGAAAGAGGAGGAAGTGCGGCTCAGTTTTAAGAAGTGGTGATGAGGGAAGTCGATTGTTTAACTGTTCAAACAGAGAAACTGCTATGGATGTGACAGTTATATAGTATTGCTGCAGACCATATTTTGACGATTTTAAAGACCTGGTCTGTCAAGAAATGGAAGACTTAAGATTACACCAGGAATTACCAAACTTGTTTCTGGAGGTCCGGTGTCCTGCAGATTTTAGCTTCAACCCTAATCAAACACACCTGAACAAGCTAATCAAGGTCTTACTAGGTATACGTGAAACACAAAGGCAGGTGTGTTGAGGCAAGTTGGAGCTAAACCCTGCAAGGCACCGAACCTCCAGGAACGAGATTGGTGACCCCTGGTTTACACTAATACATTTCAGTTTTGGAAAAAAAAGCAAGTTTTGCTACGGTTAAGCCTTCTGTCCACACTACCCCAGAGGTTTTGAGCGGCGAAAACGTAGCGTTTTAAAATCCTGAAGAGATGTTTTTTTTTTCTTTCTTTTTTATGCTGCTGCTCCATGCCAGTGTGGATGGTGGAAAACGGTGGCATAGCTGCAGAATTTTGCCTATTTGATTGAGCATTTTTCTCAATATTAAGTAGCCCACACAAAGTTCAGTCTTGCATCCTTTTCTTGCAAGTTCAAACTTCCGAGGACACGTTGGGTAAATCTTCAAAGGGAACAGTGTACTTTAACGTCATTCACATCACCCTGGCTATGCTGTTTTGCTATTTTAACAATAAAAGGAATACATGATATAAGAAACTACCTAATTTTATTTTGATGTTGGCAACTTAACAGACACCAAAAATGTTGAGGTGTCATGTAGCTTCTTATTTATATCACCACCATCTTCACTGTATGCATATTTATAACAAAATTAAGCCTAAAACATAACTGCCTCCTTTCATTTTCATTAAAAATACGAAACACAACACACCATCTCTTTTGCTCAATATCAGTTTTAAGGTAAAGGTATAAGGTAAATGAATGTGTAGGTTGTACAGTGCGTTGTTAATTACAGAACTACTATTAAAAAAAGAGAAAAAAAACAAGTTCTGAAAGAGATCAAGCCTCAGTAAAGGCAATAAAAAGTAACTCAAAGTAATGTAATACATCACTTAGCGTAAAAAGTAATGCAAGTAGTTTTTTGGGTATAACTCAATATTGTAATGCATTACTTTCAAAACTAACTTTCCCCAACACTGATTTTTGGGATTAAAATTTTTAATGTGTATGTTATATGTTGTCTTGTGTGTGTCTATGTACAGCAGACCTTTGTTTCTAGCAACAAATCTCTCCTAGGGAAGACAATACATCTGACCTTGATTAGAATTAGAAAAGTCATGCTATAATTATTATTAAATATGTTGTTGATTGGAAATGGAGGGGTAAATAATAATAATGAAGAATCAGAACAATCTTTACTGGCATGTTTTAGTCCAGATTAAAAAGTTGGTTAAAATGTCACTCATAACTAGATCTGCGTAAGTTTTTTGCTATTTCTGCTGAGAATTTTGATAAAATTCTGCGGATTTCTGGGGAATTATTTTGGGAGTATCGTAACTAAAACCTTAATATATGAAATAAAAATAAAATCTTTTAAACTTTTATTCAATGTTTAAAATGCAAATCCAATTAGATTCACTTTATTTGGTAAATAAAGCAAGTTTGTCACATAATATGTCTAGTAAAAGACAAAATATTACTGTACAAACTGCATTATACATAAACCAGATGAACATTTTTTTATAAGTCAATAATATTACTGAAATAATCAAAAACTGAATAAATATAGATTTGCACACATTTACTCAATTAAATGAACAGAATTAATGATGGGCTAAAAATCTGCAGAATTCTGCGTGCGCAGATTCCGGGTGGGCCTACTCATAACATGCACTCACAACATTTTTATTTCTGAATTTGTGCTATTTTCATGATTATGCTTTTAAAATCTGTGATCCAGGCACACAATATCCTGGAGGTATTGATTGTAACTGATTAGAATAAAACGATCGTAAAAATCTTTTGTGTTGTGCAGGCGTTCCTGCTGCCGATGTGTGAGGCTGCAGCCATGCGTAAGGTGGTGCGAGTGTATCAAGAGTGGATTTCTCAGCAGGATAAGCCTGTGTTTATGAGACAACCAGAGGAAGAGCGATTCACAGGCCAGCTGGACTCAACTCACGAGCAGAGAGCTGATAAAGACGAGGAGGAGGTGGGTGTCTCACAACTTATTACATGCTGAGTCAGCCTGCACAACAGCTTGCTCCAGAGTTTCTTTGCTTCAGATATATCTGTAATGGGATTGGGCAATATCCAGTATTTAAATTATTGCACTCAGTCTGGCTAGGGGGATATTAGAAGCTTTTATCAGGCTTATATTGGTAGAATTGTCATTTGACAAATTATAAAAGTATAAAATATGTAATTTTATAATTCTATATTGTGTAATATATTAACTGTATATTATGCTCTATTACATTGCGTTGCTTTATACGGTATTCAGTGCTTCCCAAACATGGACTTCACTTGGGCGGGCCACCCAGGTGTATTAATGGCCACCCAAGTATATTTGGTGACATTTATTTTTTCATGATTATAATTTTTTACACTTTTTTTTTTGTATCCACCCAATAGCCAAACATCCGCGATCGATTAACTGGTGGAAAATCTTCTCTCATCCTACACATTTTCTGCTTCTTGTGGTGTGTTTGAGAACTGTCAACACTCTCACAGACAATCTCATGTGTTCGGCAGAGACCCGCCTTTTTTGGACTAAAAATGCATCCATCCGGGGTTTTTTAAATCTTGTAAAACGTCCAGGATTTGGCTTTTGGTTTCGCTTTCTAAGCTGTCATCATTTTTATTTTAAGCCTGATTTACTTTCACTTGGCTTCACAGCTGACAATGCATGTACAGGCGCAAGACAGAGAGAAACATTATATAATTAACCCTTTGATCTTAACGACTCAGATAAACTTTTCTATATTCTCAGAGGAAGAAATTACATCTAAACTGGCTGCTGAATAGATGTACACCGCTAGAAATGCTTAATTAACTCATTTGCCTTATTTTATATTTGCCTTGTTACCAACACTTTTTAGTCTTGTAATTATACTTTTTAGAGATTTTTATTCCATAGATGTTTTTATTACTTTGTAATTTATTTCTCCTTTGCTGTATTTATTTTTTTAATTTGATGATGTTGATATTTTGCATATTTTATACAAATATAACATGCTTTGGCAATACTGTACAAAAACAGCAGCTTTTACCGGTCAAGCCTGATTTATACTTCTGCGTCAGGTGACCAGCATAACCCATGGCGCATGCAACGCGCGTGGATGTGCATTTATACTTCTGCGCGCTGTCTCTGTCGGTCTGCATTAACACTTCCGAAATGCTAGTTGGCAGTGAGGTGTAAAGTTCCTCTGTGTCGAGTTTCTTCGCTGCTTTTTTGCTTTTCCTGAACACTTCCGGGATGTACAAGTATCTCAAACTCGCTCATTTTGAGGCAAGAACCGGCGGTCGTGATACAACTTGAACTATGAGGTAAACACAAAACAAAACTTTCCATCCAGAGCTCCTTCACGGGACTCCACACTTGTAAACAATCGATCGCGCCATTCGCGCGGCTCTCGGTCCCGCCCAGACTCGTCAGCGCTACCAAGCCGACCAATCACAGAGCTTACGCTACGTGTCGTTGCGACGTGTAGTTACGCTTTTTAATAGGAGGTGCACGTCAGTGACGCCGATAGCCACGGCGAAGGGCTATGCGTCAGTGCCGTAGCATACGCCGGCGTTTGACGCAGAAGTATAAATCAGCCTTCAGTGGGTGCATGTGGCTCCCGAATAGTATAAAAGTAAAACAAATAGTGGAATTTTTTTTTTTATTATTTCAACAGTCAAAAACAGTTTAAAAAAAAAAAACTTCCACCCATTGAAAAGAAACAGTGTATAATAAATAAAATATAAAAGCAGTTTAAATTTTTTTTTATTTCAAAATTATTAGCCCCTTAAAGCTATGTTTTTTTGATAGTCTACTGAATTACCATATTTGTACAATAACTTGCCTAATTACCCTAACCTGCCTAATTAACCTATTTAAGCCTTTAAATGTCACTTTAAGCTGTATAGAAGTGTTTTGAAAAAAATCTAGTAAATTATTATTTACTGTCATAATACAAAGAATAAATAAATCAGTTATTAAAACTATTATGTTTAGAAATGTGTTGACAAAAAATCTGCTCTCTGTTAAGCAGAAATTGGAGAAAAAAAATAAACGTGGCTAATAATTCAGGGGGGTTAATAATTCTGACTTCAACTGTGTGTGTGCATATATATACATGTGTGTGTGTGTGTATACATATATATATATATATATATATATATATATATATATATATATATATATATATATATATATATATATATATATATATATATATATATATTCTTTTAAATGTTTATTTAAAATATAATTATTGAAACAATTTTAATGCAAAAGATTCATTACAAATCTGTATTTTATGCAAATATATTTTAAATTAATAAAAATTTAGATTTGTGTTATAAATTAAATGATAAAAAGTAATAATATAATATATTAATATTAATAATAACAATAATAATAATAGTAGTAATAATGCATTTTATTTCTAATGTGCTTTGCTTAAACCCAAAGAGCTAAAGTAAAAAATAGACACCTCAAACTACAATATAATATCATTTATTTAATGGAAATAAATCTTAAGTATTCAATAGAAAAAATGTATTAGTTTAATTAAAATTAAATTAAATAAGATGTGTATATACCCATAAATACTTATGATAAATACTTTTATGCATTCAATGCTTTTAATTCAATTAAATGTAATGTTTTTTAAACACAATTTTAAATTTTAATTCCATAAAATGTTTTTTTATTTGATTTGATTTTTTTCTTTTAATTTTAGTTTTTTTTTATTTTATTTTTTTAATTTAATTATAACTTTTTTTTTTTTTTACATATTATTATTTTTTTTACATTTTATTTTAAATTTTATTTTATTTTATTTTACCTATCATTGTGAATCTTGTTTGTGTGTGTAGGATGTTGGGCTCACGGTGTCAGTTCGAAACCCTAATTGGAGTAGGAGTAAAAGCTCTGATTCTGAGTACAATGTTCACGCTGGAGTCCAGGCTACACTACAGGTAAGTGCAGGTGAACTGAAATATAGTGAGTACACTCCTGTAAAGAGCAATGATTGAGGTGTCACCATTGTCCAAAACACAAATCATTTTTAGTCGGAAATTTGAGTTTAGTTGAAGGTATAACTTGTGAAATGTTCTCTCTTCAATCTGGTTTTCCCTCCTTCAGGTTTTTATCACCAATTCCTCTAATGTCTTCCTTCTGGAGGCTGCCAATGAGCTCAAATCACTACTGGAAGAGCATGTGGACATGTGCAAGCGCGTGCTGAACATTTACCGCAGTCTGGTCATGCATGAAACCATGAACCAGAAGACCTGGTATGTCCAATGAGTTTAGAAAGAATTTTAAGTTATTTATCATATAAACTGGAACATATAGACTGGAAAATTATATATAATATATTTTTATGTAAATTTTTTTATGTTTATTTATTTATTTATTTATTTTTATTTATTTATTTTTCTTCTGTTATTAAATTCGGAAGTTATTATTACGTAATATGTTTTTGTTTATATAAATCTTGCCATTAAATAGCCATAAGTTGCTGATGTTGCAATAAATATATATTTATTATTTGTTTGTTTTTGTTTATTAATTTTTAGTTGTTTATTCATTTAATTCTTTGTTCGTTTTTAATTATTTAGTTAGGTATTTGTGTCTAGTTATTCATCATCTGTTAATAAATTATGAAGTTAATATATTTTTGTATATGTCAACTTTTCCTTGAAATGTCAATAAGTTGGTGATGTTGCGACAAATGTTTATTTATTTATTTTTATTTGTTTGGTTTTGTTTAGTCATTTTTATTATTTGTTTGTTTTATGTATTTATTTTTTTATCATTTAGATTTATCATCTGTTATTAAATTATAAAGCTATTATTATGTCATATATTTTTGTATGTATAAATCTTGTTATGAAATAGCCATAAGTTGCTGATGTTGCAATAAATAATTGTTTTTATTTGTATGTTTTTTATTTATTTATTTATTTAGTAATTTTTTATTAGTTACTTATCTTCTGTTAATAAATTATGAAGCTGTTATTACGTAATATATTTTTGTATATATAAATCTTGTCATGAAATTGTCATAAGTTGCTGATATTGCAATACATATATATTTGTTTGTTTATTTGTATTAAGTTTTTTTATTTATCATTTATTTGTCTTATTAATTAATAAAGTTATTAAGTAATTTGTTTTAACTATATTAATCTTGCCATGAAAGAGCCATAATTATTTATTTTTATTTGTTTGTTTTTGTTTATATATTTTTATTTGTTCATTTATTTATTTGTTTTATTTATTTTTTTATTGATTTGTTTTTATTTAGTTATTCATAATTTGTTTTTATATTATGAAGCTGCGATTACATAATATGTGTTTTTTCTATATTAATTTTTCCTTGAAACAGCCATAAGTTGCTGATGTTGCAATAAATCATTATTTATTTGTTTTTATTTAGTTATTCATAATCTGTTTTTAAATTATGAAGTCATTATTGCATAATATACTATTATCTGTATTTATCTTGTCATGAAATGGCCATAAGTTGCTGATTTGCAATTAAAATACTATTTATTTTTATTTATTTATTTGATTATTTAGTTTATTTATTGTCTCTTATTAAATTCTGAAGTTATTATTACGTAACATGTTTTTATTTACATTAATCTTGCCATGAAATAGCCATGAGTTGCTGATGTTGCAATAAAAAAATAAACAAATGTCTGTTTAAGCTCATCCTAAATGTGTTTATCACAGGGAGCAGATTTTGCTAGTGTTGCTGCGAGTGACTGAGTGTGTGATGAAGAGGCCTCCCTCCATTATGCCTCATGGAAAGAAGAGTAGCACTTTATCAGGCCGTTTGGCTGGAGCCATTTTTCAGGTACCAAACACCAGCATACTGTGCCACTTAGCTCTTTTTTGTTGTTGTTGTTGCTGTTGTTGTTGTCAATTATCATTGCAAACTTCACAGTACACATCATATTTTATTATTGTTTGTGATTTTGATTTTGTTGGATCTATTTCACTTTTATTTGGGCTTTAATTTAACTGGCCAATGGACTTTGATGGATGTTTCTAAAAAAAAATATCTCCAGGAAAAATTTTTCATGTCATTTTGAAATAAAGCAGAAATTGAAATAAAACTATTAATATTACATTTTTAAAAATCTTGATTTAAAAATGTAGAAATATTGTTGAAATATAGCACCTAACTAAAACAAATGGTTTAATTGCTAAAAATGAAATAAAAAAGCTGAATAGAGATAATCATATTTAAAAAATAATAAAAATGACAAAAAGTGCTTAATAAATTGACTAAAAACTAACATTATAATGAAAAAAGGTCATTTCAAATATGATTTAATCTACATTATAAATGAAATAAACACAAACAAATGAAAATAAATAATAGATTAAATACTTGAAATGTACTACATTTTGGCCTGCACTATAACGGAAACAAACAAAAAAAAAAAAACCTTTAAATAGTAAAATAAAAGTGTAGTTATATTGTTGAAATATTGTCCTGGAACCTAACTAAATAACTTAAATGAATAGTTTAAAACTATTAAAACTCAAATAAAACAGCTGAATATTAAAATGACTACAATTAAACATTAAAAAGTATGAAAAAAGATAATTCCAGATGTTATTTGCTTTAGAATATAAATCAAATTAAATAAATATTAAACTAATGTAAATATTAAAGGGAAAAAGTGCTACAAGTTGGCCTATTAACTGAAATAACATGTTTTAAAATGGCGAAAACTAAAATAAAAATAAAGGTAAATTTGGGAGAAATGTGGGCTAATAATAATATAATAGTAATAATAAATCAAATAACATTATTAAATAAATAAAATAATATAATGAAATAAATCAATTGAGTAAATAATAAACTAAAAATAAATATTTGATTAAATAATAATTAAAAAAATGTTTTAAAACTAAGCCTATTAACTAATAAAATCAAATAAAATGTTTTAAACAACTTAAAACTGAAATAGGAATACCTTAAAAGTAAATGTTGTGCCCGGGTTGGTCTAATTGCACAGCCTATTCAGAAATATTAAGAAATATATCATGAATATTAAAATAATCGTAAGTGACTGTTGTAATTCTTACTCCGTATGTATTGTCTTGTGTTTAGACTCTGATTGTGGCCTGGATCAAGGGGAATCTGAACGTGTACATCTCTCGAGAGCTGTGGGATGACCTGCTGTCTGTCCTGTCCTCTCTCACCTGCTGGGAAGAGCTGGTCACCGAGTGGTCCCTCACAATGGAGACACTGACCAAGGTGCTGGCACGAAACCTTTACAGCCTGGACCTGAACGAGCTGCCCTTGGACAAACTTAGTGAGCAGAAGCAGAAGAAGCACAAAGGCAAAGGTGAGCTTAACCAAAAAATTAAATACTTATGAACTAGGGCGGCACAGTGGCTTAGTGGTTGCCACTGTCGCCTCGCAGCAATAAGGCCGCTAGTTCGAGTCAGGCCAGTTGGCATTTCTTTGAGTCTGAATGTTCTCCACGTGTTTGTGTGGGTTTTCTCCGGGTGCTCCAGTTTCCCCTACAGTCCAAAGACATGAACCATAGGTGAATTGAATCAACTAAATTGGCCTTAGTGTATGAGTGTATGTGAATAAGTGTGTTGGGGTGTTTTCCAGTACTAAGTTGCAGCTGAAAGGCATCCGCTGCGTATAACCTGTGCTGGAATGGTTATTCCCAAAACTGGAATTGATTAGGGGCCCTAAATGACTGGAAGTCCACTTCTCATTATAGTAATAAGCATGCATATTATTTTCACCTGTAGGTGGTATCCATGAGGGCCAGAAAATCACTGTGGATCGGTCGTTCTCTAAAGGCTGGAGTCGAGATCCTCCCGGTCAGGCGGCGGCCATGAGACAGCGCAGCGCCACCACCGCTGGATCACCAGGCATCGAGAAGGCCAGAAGCATCGTCCGACAGAAGACAGTCGGTCAGTGTGTTTCAGACCCCAATGTGTCTTCTGTTCATGGCACTTTAAATCAGTTATACATTTTAGATCTGTAACCTGTGCTTATGTCTTTGTCTACTGTATTGTTAATTCAGAATGACAAAAATGCGCTGAGATCTGGATTTTGATAAGAAAACATGATTGTGTTAAATGATGTCCTTTCTTATTGTGCTGACATACAGTCAAAGGATTAGCCCTCATGTCATTTTATCAATTTTTTTTCTTTTTCAAATATTTCCTAAATGATGTTTAGTAGAGCAAGGAATTTTTCACAGTATTGCTGATAATATGTTTTCATCTAGAGAAATTGTAATTTGTTTTATTTCGGCTAGAATAAAAACGGTTTTTATTAATTTTTTCAATTGTTTACAGAACAAACCATTGTTATACAGTGACTTACCTAATTACCCTAATTTGCCTAATTAACCCAGTTAAGCCTTTAAATTGCACTTTAAGCTGATTACTAGAATCTTGAAAATATCTAGTAAAATATTATTTACTGTCATCATGGCAAAGACCAAAGTAATTATTAGAATTGAGTTATTAAAACTGTTATGTTTATAAATGTGTTGAAAAAAATCTTACGGTGGGTAATAATTCAGGAGGGCTTATAATTCTGATTTCAACTGATTCAGTAAAGTTTTATGGGCATACAGTGCATCCGGGAAGTATTCATAGAGCTTCACTTTTTCCACATTTTCTTGTTACAGCCTTATTGCAAAATGGATTCAATTTGTTTATTTCCTCAACATTCTACACACAATAGCCCATAATGACAATTTTTTTTAATTGTTGCAAATTTATTAAAAATAAAAAAACTGAAAAATCACATGTGCATAAGCATTCACAGCCTTTGTCGTGAAGCTCTTAATTGAGCTCAGGTACATTCTGTTTCCACTGATCAAGGATCTGCTGAGGCTTCAGCAGCTTACCTGAAGTCCACCTGTGGTCAATTCAGTTGATTGGACATGATTTGAAAAGGCATACACCTGTCTATATAAGGTCCCAGGGTTGACAGTGCATGTCAAAGCACAGACCAAGCATGAAGACAGACAAACAAAATTGTCTGTGGACATTTGAGACAAGATTGTCTTGAGGCACAGGGCTGGGAAGGTTACAGAAAAGTTTCTGCTGCTCTGAAAGTTCTAAAGAGCACAGTGGCCTCCATCATCCGTAAGTGGAAGATGTTTGGAACCACCAGGACTCCTCCTAGAGCTGGCCGGCCATCTAAGCTGAGTGATTGGGGGAGAAGAGCCTTAGTCAGGGAGGTGATCCATAACCTCATGGTCACTCTGTCTGAGCTCTGGCGTTCTTTTGTGGAGAGAGGAGAACTTCACAGAAGGACAACAATCTGTGCAGCAATCCACCAATCAGGCCTGTATTGAGTCACCTTCCGCCTGGAATTTCCCAAAAGGCATCTGAAGGACACTCAGACCATAAGAAACTAAATACTCTGGTCTGATGAGACTAAAATTGAAATCTTTGGAGTGAATGCTAGGCGTTACGTTTGGAGAAAAGCAGTCACCGCTCATCACCAGGCTAATACCATCCCTACAGTGAAGCATGGTGGTGGCAGCATCATGCTGTGGGAATGTTTTTCAGCAGCATTAACTGGAAGACTAGACAGGATAGAGGGAAAGATGAATGCAGCAATGTACAGAGACATCCTGAAGCAAAACCTGCTTCAGAGTGCTCTTGACCTCAGACTGGGGTGACGCTTCATCTTCCAGCAGGACAATGACCCAAAGCACACCGCCAAAATATCAATGGAGTGACTTCACAACAACTCAGTGAATGTCCTTGAGTGGCCCAGCCAGAGCCCAGATCTAAATCCTATTGAACATCTCTGGAGAGATCTGAAAATGGCTGTACACTGTCACTTCCCATCCAACCTGATAGAGCTTGAGAGGTACTGCAAAGAGGAATGAGCAAAAATTCCCAAAAACAGGTGTGCCAAGCTTGTGGCATCATATTCAAAAAGACTTGAGGCTGTCATTGCTGCCAAAGGTGCATCAACAAAGTATTGAGCAAAGGCTGTGAATACTGATGTACATGTGATTTTTCAGGTTTTTCAGTTTTATTAAATTTGCAAGAATTTCAAAACTCTTTTTTTTAACATTGTTATTATGGGGTATTGTGTGTAGAATTTTGAGGAAATAAAATAATTTAATCCATTTTGGAATAAGGTTGTAACATATAAAATGTGGGGAAAAGCCCTAATATGAATACAGATGCACTGTAAATGATGTTATATAGAGAAATGAATAAAGCTCACAGTGAGTCACCTACAAACAAAGCAGCTTTATTTTGATGAATGCAGGGCGTATATTTGATCAACTTGAATCTTTCGGAAATAAAGACCCTATATATTTTTAAATTATTATCCTCAGTGCTGATTCACAATGCTGCAAAATATTTTTGTACAAACTTTGATTAAAATGCTTAAAACACTGCTTATAGTTACTTATAGTTTTTGTCTTGTTTCTACCTCAAATATCTAAATTCCTAAAAAAAGAAGCATTTTTGAGAAGTATAACATATAATCTTGTTTTCAGATAATATGTCAAAATTAAGTGAGTTTTTATTTTTAAACAAGCTAAAATATGCCAATGGGCTTAGTTAAATAATCTTGTTTTTGGTTTAAAATAAGACTATTTTGCTCACCACATTGGCAGATTATTTAACTTATTTTAAGAAAACAAATCGCTTAATTTTGACATATTTTTGAAAATAATGCAATTTTTTGATTGTCTAGAAAATACTTTTTGATTTAAAAATTTAGAGATATTTTTTTACAACTCTCCAAAATAATTACCTAATATTAAAAACACCTCATTTAGCATGGAACACAGGCTTGGATGTAAAAAAAAAAAAAAAACACTGCTGTGACATCTTTGACACATCATGTTTCTCAGATTAAAGATTAAAAATATTAATAATAAGATGCTTATGTCATTGCTAATTTGAGGGTCTTTTCTTAACCTCTTCTTTGTAATGCTCACAGCTTTCTGCCATCACTTTCTCTTTTTCTCTCTCTTCTCCTCATGTCTTTAACTCCTCCTGTGCTCCTCCATTTCTCTCTCTCTCTGCCCCATTTCCCTTTCTCTCTCTCACACTCTCCGCCGTTCTTCTCTTTTTCTCCTCCTCTGGGTGTGTTTGTGTGCGGATCTGTAGCTCTTCGTAGTTGTTCTACGGGCGACAGTCTGCTGTCCTCAGCCTTTATCCGCAGTGCTAAAAGCGCACCTGTCCTGATCCACCCCGTACACCCTCTCCTGCCTGACTCTGTCCTCACTCCTCTAGCTGACGAGCTGTCAGGTAGAGCCCGAATCGGCACTCTCGCCTCCGACTGCGACCCGGTCCATGGATGTGCATGTATTTGGATGTGTGTGTGTGTGTGTGGATACTGCCTGTAGTTAGCAAGCCTAATCCTGACACATTTAGTGTTGTATGTGTTATTGTTTAACCCTTGTGCACTGTTCAAATTGACTACCCTTTCATTATGCTGGTGTCTGTTTTTGCCCCATTGACTTCCGTTACAATTAAAATTTTTTATTGCAAAGCTATGACACCGTATAATCATGGATTGTTGATGCTGTTCTCGCTTGGGTGGAGGTAAAACTTAAAAATTTTACTCACGATCATCAGTTGGCATTATTATTATTAGATGTGCAAAAAAATTTCAGACTTTTATATGGAGTTCTATGGAGTAAAATTACAAGTTATCATGTGAGTGCATTAATACACTTACTATGTTTACTATGTTCTAAAAAGCTGAGCTGCTTATTTTTTTCCTCAAACATACCGAGTTAAGCGCATAAAGGTCTCTCTCACACTTGTGCAGACACACACACTATACTCCATATAACCATATAATTTTAAGCCAGAAACTAAGCTATTTTTGCACTGCAAATGATAATCAAGAGTACAAATTACAAAGTTTTCCTCTTTTTCAACTGGGAAAACCAGCAAGAATGGATGATTATGTGGTGTCATAGCTTTGCAATCAAAATATGTCATTATAATAGAAGTAAATGAGGCAAAATCAGCTACCAACAGTAAATTTGCCTGGAGTGTATTGTTGATTTTTTGAGAATTGTCAAAGAATTTTCCCAAAATATGTGTCTAAGTAAGATTTGTCACCAAATATCATTTCATTTGCTCATAGTTGAGGCCAAATTAAGACTCAAAATCACCCCAGGGTGAATGAAAACATTCCCAACAGCACATAACGGTTAATAGACTTAAATGTGTTTCCAGTGGGTTGTTAAATCTGCAAGATTTCTTTGACATTCATTTTTGCTTTGAAGACTTTCTGACTGGATGAATGTCAAGTTAAATGTTTTGGTCACATGCATCCCCAAACAATTCATTATAATTGGCTTTGAGAAAAAGCCAATTTCCAATCTGGAAATGTAGAGACTTTCAAAAAGTCTTATAAGGAAAACTTCAGAATTATGGCAGATTCTGTAGTATTTGTTTTGTCAAAAAGTTTTTCTAGTCCTGCTCCGTCTCTAAAAATGATTGCCATTACTTTTACAACAAACGATGATTTTGGAACATTTATCCTTTTAGAACAATGTTCATTGCCTGCTTATCCAGTCACAATCATCTGTAAAAAAAAAATTTGGATTTTTATTTTTTTTTTTCATTTGATTTGGGGGTGAAATATGACCCAGATATTTCACTCAACGGTTCTTTGGGAACCGGCATGTGTGTGTTTTGTGTCTGTGCTGTTTATTTTTTCCCATCAGAGTGAATCTAAATAACAATTTTTGCATCACATTACAAATTACTCCCTCTTCACACCCAGAACGTTTGAGAAAAATACCCCATACAGGATTGACCTAGTCTGCCATTCTTTATCACTGTTCGTCTAGAATATCTGGGAGAATGTTCAAGTGGAATGATTCATTATGCCTTTTATACTTATTTGCTTTTTTTGTTTGTGATCTGATAGTTCACTTGAATTGAGATTCAGTAGTAAACGTGCTTTGTTTTTATTGTATGCATGCATTTTTCTGCATGTTAGAAAAGTTAATATAACAGTCCCTTAAAGATTTTTCATCACCACTTAGGTATTATTAAGAATTATTGCTTGTGTTCTTAATGTGCTGTTTTTGATGCATAAACACATTCTTGAATGTGCTGATGGTTGTGTATCTGTTCATGTTTAGACCTGGAGGAGCCTCCTATGATCCAGCGTGGGCCACGGAACCGCCACTGCTCTCAGAGCGAGGAGACGCCGACGTCTGAAGTTTTTTCGGCCTCCGGTGAACTGGAGCAGCCTCCGCTTCCCCGCAGTAGCAGTGCCTCCGACATCATGGAGCCCTTCATCGCAGAACGGGCCAAAGGTGCACTTCCTGTCTCTGACAGTCCCTCTCACTCCCCCCACTTTACAGCCACCACCACCACCATTGAGTTCCCCCACAGTTCCCCAAACCCACAGCAGCTCACTGACCCACAGCAGCTCCCCGACAGCCAGGCGTCCCTGGAGGTGGCCGAAAGTATCTATGACCATCTCTGCCAAATGCCAGGCCAGCAGCCCCCCTTTATCCCCGATTGGTCCTGTCCAGCCGCGGCCTCGGCCAATCAACCCGAGGGCGAAGCGGAGGAGGACGTCTTCAGTGCTTTTCGGGAGTTTTGTCACAGGGAGAATGTGAAAATGGAAGCAGGTGCAGATTTAAAGCAGGTGCAGTTTGAGGGCGATTGGGCTCTAGAATGGGATAGAGAGATGGAGCAGAGCGAGAAGAGTTTGTATGAGTGCTTAGAGGAGTGTGATTGGGATTTGAGTGTTAGTCCGCAGCCAGCAGAGGACGGTAAAGGAGCACAGCTTCAGCGGCAGGACGCCACCGACAGGGCTAGCGAGAGTGAGGTTAGTCCACAGGCTTCGCATGGACCCATGTTGTCAAATATTGATCACAAGAAACGCCACAGCAGTGCGGTCCATGTCAGTTTCCGGCCCTCCACAGAGTCTGTGCTGTTCCACAACCCTTTGGACCCCAAGGAGGCACACTGGAAAACCCGGCTTCGCCGTCTCGGGCACTTCAGCAGCCACTCGGTTGGGGCGAAAGGTGTAGGGGAGGGGGTCACCTGTTGTGAAGTGGTGGAGCGGGAAAGAGGCTCCATCAGCGGGGCTAGACGTGGACGACTTGGTCGTCCGACTCTTCGGCCTCGAGGGTCCCGATCTAGATCTCAGGAGTCAGGGTGCAGCCCCTCACGACAGCAGCAGGTGGCTCTGTTGGGTGGGGTGTATAAGTCTATGGTCCACGCTCTCTCCAAACCCAAGGGCCAGGCAGCATCGCCCCAGCGCCACAGCAAATCGCCCGCCACTGAGGCCCACCTGAAGGACCTGTATGCTAGCGTTATGGGCTATTTTGGAAGAAAAACATCAGGTGAGGGTTTAAATCGGCTCAATGTCAACATGGAAGACATGAAAAAAGCGCCTGTGCGTTTTCCCCTTTTTTTCTCTCTTTTCTTGTGACTTTGATTTTTGCTGAATGTGGATTGAATTGAAGCCTCTTTTTGTATTTTCTTTTAAAGTAGCTAAAAAAAAAAGACTCCCAAAAGACCATCGGCCCCCCACCTGTGGGATGGCTTCCCCTCCTCCTCCTCCAGCTTCTGGGATATAATCTCTGCTGCCCCTCTTCCCCTGGATGCTGCATGCGGCCTCATGGCTACCTCCCGCCCTCTGTCCATCTCTCACACACATTCACTTACACAGTCATAAAACACACACACTCATGATTTTCTTTTTTTACCAAATGTTATGTTTTTTATAATCTGTATGAGATTATATATATATATATATGTATAATAATCGCTTTTATAATATATTAGAATTGTTACAAATGGTCATTTTAAAGGAATAGCACAGCCGAAAATGAAAATTGTCATCATTTACATCCTCAAGTTCCTCAGCACAATTTTTAGCAGTGTTTTATTCCATAATTAGTAATGGGGCTTCAGAAATGGCAAAATGTGTTTTGAATAGGAGTACAAAAGGGATGTGCAATGCTATTTGTATTTTTGGGCTAATGCTAACTGTGCTGATTTTTGGCTTATTTAGGCCTGTCATAAATGGATTGCATGAAAATACATACATATTCCTTGTATTCTGTGCTATGACAAGAATTATTATATAATGTATATACAGTGCTCAGCATATATAAGTACACTCCTCACAAATCTATCTTTAATTTATTTTTTTAATAGGGCGCTATACACTATTATATTTGTGCATCTACAGTTGTAGTCAGAATTATTAGCCCCTCTGTTTGTTTGTTTTTTTCCCAATTTCTGTTTAACAGAGATTTTACTAGATATTTTTTAAGACACTTCTATACAGCCTAAAGTGACATTTAAAGGCTTAACTAGGCTAATTAGGTTAACTAGGCAGGTTAGGATAATTAGGCAAGTTCTTGTATTTCAATGGTTTGTTCTGTAGACTATTGAAAAAATCTATCTTAAAGGGACTAATAATGTTGACATTAAAATGTTTTTTTTTGTTTTTTTTTTTAATTAAAAACTGCTTTTATTCTGGCTAAAATAAAACAAATAAGACTTTCTCCTGAAAAAAATATATCATCAGACATACTGTGAACATTTCTTTGCTAAATTAAACATCCATAAATAATATTTAAAAAAAGAAAAAAAAAATCAAACGGGGACTAATAATTATTCAATAATACTTGAACTGTACATTAGATTAGACAGTACTGAAGCCAAATCTGGAGCTTATCTAACAAGAAAACCTACGATAACACCCAAAAACTAGGACACCCAAATTTGTATGTTATATAAAATATTAAATACGAATAAAAACAAGAGGAAAAAACAAGTAAGCAAAGAAAAAAAATGTTTTAATTAAATTAAAAAAAGGCAATTTAGTTGTAATTTTGTAGGTTGTAATTTTTTTTTTCAATATTTTGCTTGAATTTATTTGTTTTATCTTTCAATTTCTAATTATGTTTGGTGACAAAAATTTTGTTTTAAATTTTCAAGTTTTCAAGGTTTTGTTTAAATGCACCAAAAGAGCACTTAATTACATAAAAAAAAGAACTCATCATGGCAAAGACAAAATAAATTAGTTATTAAAACTGGTATTTTTTTAAATATGTTGAAAAAAATCTCTCCTTTTAACAGTACTTGGCAAATATTTGTAAATGAATTAAAATTGCACAGGAGGGCTAATAACTTTACCTTGGACTATGTATACAAGTATATACACTACCGGTCAAAAGTTTGGGGTTAGTAGGATTTTTAAATCTTTTAAACATTTTTCGTTTCATGTTCATATTTTAACTATTCACTTTTTTTTCATTCAATAAGTATCACCTTCAAAAACAGAATAATTTTCTTGAAAAAAAAAACGGACCCCAGACTTTTGACCAGTAGTGTATATGTATAAATAGTTAAAAGCAAAATTAGCCCTTCTGTGAAATCTTCACATTTTTTTTGAAAATTTTGCTTAACTTAAATGTTTCACAGTATTTTCTCATTACTTTTTTTTTCTTTTGGAGAGTTTTTTTCTTTTAGTTTGACAGAAAAGCATTATGTTTTATTAAAGTAATTTTGAAGGTCAATATTAGCCCCTTAAGAATTGTTGTTTTGATTGTTACAGAACAAAACCACTGTTACCACCTAATGGGGTATATGCACACAGACATTTAATTTCAATAAGCTAGCCCCAGGGCTTCCGGTTAATTTATCTCTACAAAATCACTGCGTTTAAGATTGATTTCTTTGAAAAACAAGGATCTTCACTGCCTAGCTGAGATGCGATATAAAGTGGGTATCAGACCAAACAGGAAGCTCTGCATTCAATTATATTTTTCTTTAAAATATGGAAATTAATTTTACCCCAGTATTTTCAATGGAGTTTCTGCGCTGGCCTGTGGCTAATGACGGCACATGCGCTTCATTTTATGCTTTAACAACCAACGGAATGCTGAGGTCTATTTAATCGATCATTTTTGAATCACTTTACAACATCAATGCTGTAAAAGGAACATTATGAAATTGAAAATAGTCACATAAACCTTTTACTGGAAGTTCATCATTGGCTGAAAATACTAGCTCTTCATGTACTATAGCCCATTAAGCCTTCTAATTGCATTAAGCAAAAAAACAAAAACAAAAAAACACAGTTATTAATGTTTATTTTGATTTTCTGTTTAAAAATGTTTGAAAAAAGTTTTTGTAAATGAATAATAATTTCATATTAGTTTGATATTTATACTCAACATATACACTCCACAACCCTCTTTATGGAATAAACTCACCAAGGTAAAGATTGCTTTTGAGTTCCACGGCAAGGATGTCTATATGATGACAGAATTTTCAGTATACAGCTGGTGTAGTTGCAATGTTTTGTATGACCAGTAGAGGGCAGCACTATCTCTCTTAAAGAGCGATGTTTTCTCATCTGTGTTAAAAGCTTGCTGGCTTGCCTGTAGTGTAGTAGTAAAACATCACCTCTTGTTGACAGATCCATTGCAAAAGCTATTAGTATTTAAAATACAACCTGTAGTCGAAACTAACCATAATTCTAAAAGTATCCAAATACCCAAAGTCACTGCCTCCACCATGCATCAAACCAAGAGAGCTGTCACGTTTATAGGATTGTTTTTAATCTAACAAGTGGCTTTCTAACTGCTTTGGGATGAAGGCTTCGTCGTCTCGTGTCTCTAACATACTCACTGCTGTCTCACTTTAACCACAGCCGGCATAAAGGCTCACTAACCTCTAGGTTTGGACTTCCGGGGTTTGCTCTGTCTCTTTTTCTTGTCTGTCTCTATTTGGGGACTGCATGAACTGTGAGTAACTGCATCGCTTCTCTGGATGAAATCAGTTTTGTGGTTTGCTTCCGTTAAAGATTTTTGTGTTTTTCTGTTTGTGTTCTGGTTTAGTGTTTGTCAAAGGATTTTGGTTGATTTTTAAAGGGCAACAGTGCTGAGCTAAAACAAGCAGTTTTAGAGTTTTGTTGATTTGTATCTCAAGTTCAAGCATTTTTTTTTACTGACGTTCACATCCAGTATGACGTTCACATCCAGTATGCTTCATTGTGATTGTTGAATTTTGAACAATTTCCTAGTGCTATGGTAATAAGAAAAAATGCAGAAAAGTTTGTTTTCAATCATAAAGTTTTTAAAAAGTAAGATTTTCCTTTTTTTTTTGTTATAGTTTTTTTTATTAAGCAAAACAACAAAGACAAAATAAGCAAAGACAATATAAATTAGTTATTAAAACTATTATGTTTAAAAATAGGTTGAAAAATATTCTCCTTTATAGATTTCCCAAAAGTACTTGGAAATATTTATGAATGAATTCACATTTCACAGAGGCTTAACAATTTTGTCTTTGACTATATGTACGTGTGTATATACATGCAGTGCTCAACATGAATGAGTGCTCACCCATTTCTGAGTGATTATAGGTAATATATTTTGGTGCATTTGAACAAAACAGATTTATTAAACATGATTATATTTAGTCAACTAATATATTTGGGTATCATGGTGGCACAGTGGGTAGCACAATCGCCTCACAGCATAAAGGTGATTGGTTTGAGCCTCGGCTAGGTCAGTTGGTATGGAAGTTGCATGTTCTCCCCATGTTCGTGTGGGTTTTCCCCACAATTCCAAAGACGTGGTATAGGTGAACTGGGTAAGCTAAATTGTCCATAGTGTATGTGTGTGAATGGGTGTGTATGGATGTTTTCCAGTGATTGGTTGCAGCTGGGAGGGCATCCGCTGCGTAAAAAAATATGCTGGATAATTTGGTGGTTCGTTCCACTGTGGCGACCCCGGATTAATAAAGGGACTAAGCCGAAAAGAAAATTTATGAATGAATAAACAAACATCTTTAGAAATGGAAATTTTTTCTAAAAGATTGCATTTAAATATTTAAACACATTGTATTGTTGCAATTTTTGAATATAATTATAGAAAAACTATATAATTTCAGTTACATGCTGATCTCTAGAACTTTGTTCATAAAAGAAGTCTGAAAAATGTTTTATGCATTCTGCAAAAAATGTTTTCCTCAATGATAATAATAATAATATTTCTTGCACTCCAAACCTGCATATTTCAATGATTTCTACTGAAGACTAAAACTATATTTAATATATTTTCTCTATATTTTATAATTATCAAACTATAGAGTAATGATGCTGTAAATCATTCCAGAATCATTCCAATCATTCCAATAGTATTAATATAATTAAATTTTTATATATTGTCTTTAAAAGTAGCATCTCGGAGCACTTTACAAAGATATAAAAAGTACAGAAGTAAAGATACATGCAGCGATGCATCCATAAAATAGGTGCACTCAGGTGCAAATAACATATTTTGACATTAAGGGAATTATGGATTAAATTCAAGTAGGCCAAATTTTCTTCTGACAATTTTCTTTATAATTTGAGTTATGAATTACAGTATCACAATACTACTTGGTATCGTGGTACTTCAGCTGGTATAGTACCGTAAGATTAATTAATGATATCCTGACAACCCTGTAATATACACTTATTTTAAATTGTAATAATATTTCACAAAATTACTGCTTTACTTTGCTTTTTTTTTAACCAAATCATTGTAGCTTTAGTGAACATTAAGAAACAGAAAACAAATCCTAAGGTCATCAAACATTTTAAGTTGTGTACATGCATGCTTTAACACTATTTTAAAGGGATAGTTTAACCTAAAATTAACATTGTCATCATTTACTTACCCTTGACTTGTTCAAAATCTGAGTTTTTTTTCTTCTGTTGAAAACAAAATTATGCATTATGAAGAATGCTGGTTGCTGAGACTTTTGACTTTCATAATAATTGTTTTTCCTACTATTGAAGTCATTGGGTCCCAAATTTTTTTTTATGTATATATAACCGTATTTTGTGTTACAGAAAAAGAAACTCATAAAGGTTTAAAACCACATAAGGTAGAGTAAATCATGAGCTAATTTTTATTTTTGGGTGAACTATCTCTTTAAAAAGATATATTTTAAGTGTTGAATGTGAACTATTTCCCATTAACAACAATAATAGATTTTAGATGTAAGAGTATAGCGTGAATCATGAGCAAAATTAAAACAAACAAAAAAACTCAACAGCACTGTTATCCTTTAAGAATGTTGTGTTTATTCACTCACTGTCCCCAAACTCAAGTAAATCCGTTCTTGATTATTATATTCAAGAGATACACAGAGAGAGGCCGACAGCACTACCGGGAGGGATGCACAATACATGCCACTCTACTTGCTCATTTGCATGCTCTTTGTGAGGTTTCTGTAAAATTGCTTGTGTTTTTCTTTGCTTGTCGTCTTAGCCAATAAAGACGAGCTGACGCCGAAGATGCGGCCCATGTCTAACGATGCTGGCAGCAGCAACCCCAATGTCAGTGACCTCATGGACGAGTTCATCCAGGAGAGACTGAGAGCCAGAGGCAATTCTGTATGTCCATGCACACATTCAGTATGCTTGGTGTCAAAAACTAGTGTTGAAATTTAGTTCAAGGGTAATTCCATACATGCTTGAACAGCTCATATGGTGGGAAAATGTGCATGTCTGCTATTGTTTAATAATTGTCTTTGCACTAAATTATTTCAATACATTAATATAGCTGAAAATACAAATGTGCATATGTGTGCATACGTTCATACTGCTTTAAGTTAGAGCTTTAAGCCCAAAGTTTTTTTTTATGGAGAGCCATGAACCAAACTTGACAACATAGGCTCATTCTGAAAACGTAGCCCCTATATACATTTCAGGAGATCATAAATAATTTAGCCAGAGGTACGAATAGCTGTATTTCATTCTTAAAACGAATGCTATGGGGTGGTATGACGTCGTTCTTTTTCGCGCTTACCAGCTGACAGCTTACCTCTGTATGTAACCGTTTTCCTGCTGTTACAAGTTGGTCCAGTAGCTCACCATGTACGTTGCCGGACATGAGTCGCAGAGAGGAGTTGATCACGACGATGGGGTTTAAGTCAGGCGAAGAACAGTTCTAGAAAGCAGAAAATGTGGTAAAATAAGAAGAGGGCTTTTGGTGAACATTAAGGATTGCTATTTAAAATTGTTGGTTGGGTTTTGGGAAGTGGGTGGGCGGGTCAATCGTTGCTTATAAAAACACTATTGGTTGGGTTTAGTGAAGGAGGAGGGTGAGTCAGTCAGTCATTCAGTAAAGCCTGGTTTAAACTTCTGCATTGAGTGATCGATGTGACCCACGGTGCCTGCCTTGCGTGTTGTCGTGCATTTATACTTCTGCACACCATTTCTGTTGCTCTGCAATAACACTTCCGAAACACTTTTATGTTCCTCTCTGTTAAGTTCGCTGGTGTTTTGTTTTTCTGAATGCTCCCTTAATGTAGAAGTGGCTCAAAATCGCTTATTCTGAAGTGGAAACCGGCGGACGTGCAACAACTTTAATCATGAGGTAAACACAAAACAAACTTTCCATCTGGACCTTCTTTACTGGACTCCACACTTGTAAACACTCTCTCCATCGGGCTTGAGCGCCCCACACTCGACCAAACAGACCAATCAAAGAGCTTGCAAGTGTCGTTGCGACGTGGTGTTACATTTTTTCGAGAGGTGCACATCAGCGTCGGCTACGCCGAAGCGTACGTGTGTGCTTGACACAGAAGTATAAATCAGTCCTATGTCAGTTAGTCAGTCAACAGCGGCCTCTGGTGGATTTGCAAAAGCAAAAACTGCAAAAAAACACAGCTCATGGGATATGTTTGGAGTTCTCCAGAAAGGTATATGGCGGTCTGTTTTCAGAATGAGCCTGGGTTGCAAACTTGAGTGTGGTGTGCCGAAGGTGAATATAGTAAACTCTGTTACATTAAAGTTGCCATGGCTAATTTTCTAATTATCTATTATATAATCGTCCATCAGCTAGTAATTCATTCAAGTCTTATGTGCAGGGTAAAAGGAACAAAAAATCTTTTCAATATACATTCTCCAAAAACTCCCATAAAGGATTCTAGATATGAACCAAATAAGTTTGAAACTTCATGTCAGCTAAGAACTGCATCATTTAAGCTACTTTAAATTATCCAGCTTTTCACGGTGGTCTTGAAATTTTTATATGAAAGCACACATGTATTATTCATTTAGCTTCTATGTGATAGCGTTTATATAGTTGATGACTTTGTCGTGTTGTTTTTAGGGCATGACGAGGCGCGGCAGTAGCCCAGGAAGTCTGGAGATCCCTAAAGATCTGCCAGAGCTGCTGAACCGTCAGAACGCCACACGTCCCGCAGACGACCCCGGTGTGCCCTCTGAGTGGACCTCGCCTGCCAGTGCCAGTGGAAGTGACCTCATAAGCTCTGACAGCCAATCGGATTCCTTTAACGCTTTTCAATATGACAGCAAATTCGAAAGTAAGTGGAGTATTCAGTTAAAGGGAAAAGTCAAGTGATGTGCTTGATTCAAGTGCGCTAATAATTCTGACTGTGGTTGATGGCTATGCGTACATGTTCATTGAAGTGTGTTAAGTATAAATGGTCACAGTTGAAAAATGTTTGTGTGCAGATTTCAGCTTCCCCCCTGAGACGTGTGCTTTGGCGTCTGCAGATCAGGATAGTTTGAGTGGGACAGGACAGACAGCGGAGGAACAGGAGCTTTCCAGTCTCACAACACTTCACATCGACTCTGAGACCAGCAGCCTTAGTCAGCACGGCCTGTCTGCTGATACTGTCACTATTACTGGTACTCTCTCTCTCAAACTCACTAAAACTGTGTTGGCCTGTGGTATTCAATTTTGGCCTCCAAAGATTAAGAACTGTAAAACTCATATCCAGCATTCTTCCCAGCAGTCCGCAAAGCTTTATTTTATGTGTGAAATAATGTAACCAGGATGGTGTATATTTTAATAATTGGATTTTCCTTTCAGAAATTGATATTTTTTATTTTTATTAATGTCAGGGTAACAATAACAGCATCCTACAAATTTGTTACGTAGAGTGAACATGAGTTTTCCAGAGAAGCAAAGCACCAAATAAGCACAAAAAATAAACTAAAAAGACAAACAACAAATAATATAAAATCAATTGTTTAGAAAATTAAAAAAGGAAACTAAGTTAACAGTTTTAATTGCTTATGGATTCTTACAGGAAGCAATAGTTTTAATGTACTGTTGAAGTTCCTTTTCAAAAACAATACAACAAGGTATATGTTGAGATAATTTACAGTGATGTGTAAGGATTAAAAGGAGATTAATACTGAAATATTCCTTACTTTTATCATCGGGAGTATTGAAAAATTCCAACAGGATATCCTTAAAAGATAACAAGAATCCCGGTAGTATTTTGAGATGAATAACCAAAGAAAGTTTAATTCAAAAGCAGGGCAATTCCAAAAAATATGATCAGCTGTTTCACTGGGTATTTGCAGAAAGAGCAGCATGTATTTATATTTGACTTCAAAAAGGTCTTGGCTGGGTAAAATCTGTGTAACAGTTTAAATGAAATTTCTCTAATTTTGTTAGTTATTATATATTTTACAGACAAAGACCAAACTTTTTTTCCATTGAATCTGGTTATATATTTCCATCCAAAAATTTTACATATGGGGTTGTTACAATTTCCTTTTGAAAATGAGACCTGATTTTGTAATTACATAAGGAAGGTTGTGATAAAAAAAATATTTTTCCCACAGAAGTTTCCAAGGGGTCAGTGTGGTGTGGAAAGTTTTTTTTCAGACACATTATTTGATGCCTTTTAAATATGCTAAACCCATATTTGACTCCTTTTAAAATTGTTAGTTGACTTCAAACCATTCATTTTGGTTCAAGTTTCTGCATTTAAGCTATAAACACACGGGACGGAATTTCTGCAGACAATATGTACTGCTTACCAAATGCAATTTCAGCGGAGACGGACAGCAATGAGAAATGCACTATACTGTAATAAGCAAATAACTCATCATCATCAGTAGTGGTTCCCTCAGGCAATTAACCCAGATTGCTTTCATTCCTATTGCATACCATACTTAAGTCCACATTCAGATCCTTGTTTTCAAGATCATTAGGGTGTTCTTTGGTAAACCCCAAACTAGTCTAACCAACAATGTGTATGGATAGTTTTTATTTTTTTTTATGTACATAATGACTCCAGAGACAGAATCTCTTTCAGTCACACTATTCACTCTGGATCTTTTTGTGTCGTTTTATTGATATTATAACAATTAACAGTGTCATGCTGAGAGATCTGAGAGCTGATGCATTTGATGTTTCCTCAGGCTCTGAGAGCGCATCTCCAATGCACTCTCTAGGAGGATCTCGATCGCAGACGCCATCTCCTGCAACCCTGACCGCTGAACACGTCCAGCATAAAGAGCTGCAGCTGGATGAGAAGATGCACCATTCTGTTCTGCAGACCCCTGATGACCTTGGTAATGTATAAATAAGATGCATTTCTTTTAAGAGTAGCACTTGGTTAAGAGTGTGTAATCTAGTACGCTGCCTGTTGGCTGTTAGCATGTTATTATTGAACTGATTGTGAGCCGTGATGTGGAAACATGCTTTTAAATGTGTTTCTCATGAACAAATGTATTCGTATTTATTTAAAAACCCTTTACTCTTGTTTGGTGACGCTTTGTCATGTTTGTTGATGCTCAGTGCAGCACATGTTTTGCTTAAGTTGTCAAATGCAAGTCAAAATGTAGCTCTTAAGGATTATACTCGTAAACTCTCATTTGTTATGTTATAAATGAACACAAAGATTTGAAAGAAGAGTGAAAATGCATGTGTACCATTAAATCGGCTCTTAAAGTGACAGCGCACTGTATTCCTGCTGCTGACTATTGTTATTCGTATTAGACTTTTCTTATTAGACTACACAGTTTGTCTAATTTGTTATTTTTTTTAATTAAATCAATAAACCATGCCATTTTATGTGGTTTATTTAAAAAAAGAATATGAATGGCATGATCTATGGTTTTAATTCTAATCCGTGTGTTTCAGAGTGTAGTCTTAAAGGCACCATTAAACAGAAAAGAGGCCCCCCCCACCCCCACCCCCCGCATATTGTTATGTATATGCAAATGAAATGGTCCTGAATTTAGAAAAAAGCATGTAGGGAGTTGCGTTTTGTCAATTAAGAACTGATTGGGTTGTTGGTAGATGGGCATTGCTAACAAAATGAAGGAAGATTAATGAATGGTGGAAAGCAGGGCAGAAATGACGCACGCCCTGATAGCCCTGCCCTAAAAGCACTCCATGTGACCAGAAATGAAGAAAACTCATTTCAAAAGAGCAGAGACGGTTATGATTTTATAAAAGATCATGAATTTTTACAAATTAATGAAGTGCACAGAGTGACACGGTGCCTCAGTGGTTAGCACTGTCACCTCACAGCAAGAAGGTCGCTGGTTCGAGTCCCAAATGAGTCAGTTGGCGTTTCTGTGTGGAGTTTGCATGTTCTCCCTGTGTTGGCATAGGGTTTCCTTTAGGTGCTCCGGTTTCCCCCACAGTCCAAACACATACGCTAGGTGAATTGAATAAACTAAATTGGTTGCAGTGGATATGAGTGCATGTAAGAGAGTATGGAGATTTCCCATTGCTGGGTTGCAGCTGAAAGAGCATCCGCTGTGTAAAACATGATGGATAAGTTGATGATTCATTCCGCTGTGACAACCCCTGATGAATAAAGGAACCAAGCCAAAGAAAAAATTAATAAATGAAGTGCACAGATACATCGTTTATAACAAGCACTACTATAGAAATATAAATAATAAGAAGATAAATTTTTCATTTCATACTTAAATGACTTAAAAGGCACAGTATGTAATTTTAGCCACTAGAGGGCGCAGATTCACAGCAAACAAAAGCGTAGTTTGATGATGCCGAAATCAAATCATGGGAGTTGTTATCTTCACTACATCCTCTGGGACTCTTGAAGAATTCAGGTTCCTGGATGAGTTAATGTATTTTAAACTTATTGTCATGGAAGTGTGAAGCAAACTTTAGGGCTATTTACACACATGCCTCTGCATCTAAAAATATGAAACGCAGTGCTCAGTAAAAAATGCGGGATTCCACACAACTCCTTCATGTTGTCCCAATGCAAATCAATAAAGTTAACTTAATTAACATAAAACTATTAAGTTGTTCCCCCCCAAAAATTCAAGAATGCTGTTGATTCAGCTCGTTTTAAACTTATTAGTTTGAACAAGCAGCAAAATATATATTTTTAAATTTAATGGCTTTTAAAACAGCGAAAACGCTTTTAAGTGACACACTACCAGTAAACAGAAACTTGCAATGCTAGCCGGGTTCATCTGGTTGGTTTGCTGCACAGGTGTCAAACTTAGTTCCTGCAGGGCCGCAGCTTTGCACAGTTTAGATTTAACCCACCTATTCAAACTAATTGAGGCTTGTTTGAAACCTACAAGTAAGTGAAACAGGGTTGTAACTAAAGTATGCAAGGCTGGAACTGCGTTTGACACCTATGGTCTACTGCTTTGGAACGGACACTGATGAGTAGCGTTATCTGCATTCATAAGCATTTAACACAAAACCAAAGTAAGCAGATCAAATGCATTTATAACTAGCTCTGGAAGCAGTCGAAAGTTGATGAGCTCAAAAACTTTAGTTTTCTCTTTTAATTGCATTCAGTGTTTAGTGTCCACATTTATTCATTTAGTAGACAATTTTATCCAAATCAACTTTCAGTAAGGATAAAAGAAGCACTTCAAATCATCAGAGAGCAACAGTAAAACAATGCAATGTCTAGTCTAAGTTAAAGACATTTACATTTACATTTAAAAATTTACATTTACACTTAAAAAAGGTATAGAGTGTCTCCTACAGGTGGTTTGTTAAACCAGCTCAACTGCATGAAGCACACAAAGAATTGTTCATCTATGCCTCTTTAGGCTGCTTTGACACACAATTTACAAAGAATGAATTTGAATTGCATGATGGATTTTTCTTGTTGTGTCTAATGCATACGGAGTGGACAGAGTGTGTCTTACTGGTGGTGTGTTATCACTTGTGATCAGATTGATGACAATGCATCTTGTGAACGGGTATAAATAGGACTTTATTTTTCATATTGTTCAGAAACCAGCGAGTTTCCCACTGAGGACTGTAGTGTAATGGCTGGTGGCACTCTGACTGGCTGGCATGCTGATGTCGCAACAGTAATGTGGAGGAGAATGCTTGGGATTCTGGGAGATGTCAACTATATAAAGGACCCTGAGATCCATGCGCAGGTTTTTGACTACCTCTGCGAACTCTGGCAGAACCTGGCCAAGGTGAACACACAAAATACACGACTTCACGACTCTGCAAGGATGATTTACAGTGCAGCTAATAATCAAATTCCAGTTGAACAAACGTCCTTCTGCCTCTGTTTTTTATTCCATCGCTGTAGATCAGAGACAATCTCGGGATCTCCCTTGACAACCAGTCGTCTCCGCCACCACCAGATCTGATTCCACCTCTGCGGATTCTGACTCCATGGCTTTTCAAAGTAAGGTTATCACTATTTTACCTTTTTAAGCAAACCCACTTTACTCTTTATCAAAATGACATAGAATACTGGACATTTATCTTAGACTGTTTAAATAAAAAGACCCAGAATCTGTCTGTCTGTTTTGATATTGAAATTTAAAGCTGAATAAATAAGCTTTAAAATGTATTCTTTTTTAGGATAAGACAATGTTTAGCAATCTGAAAATAATACTAAAAAACCCAGAATGTAGCTTTTAAAGTTGTCTAAATGAAGTGCTTAATCACAAATTGAGTTTTTATATTTTAAGTATTATTATATGTACATTTATATACACATAGAACATGATCTTTACTTAAAATTTTTATCATCTTTAGTGTAAAATCTTACAGTATTTAATAGCGCCCAAAATATACCTGGGCAACATAAGACATAATCACAATCATATTTGATTATTCTATCTATATGTTAATTCTGTTGTACATGGTTTGTTACATTCAGTTGGTTTATTTAATAATTTTAAACGTTTTTTAATGACATATTTCCATGTACCTGTTGCCCAGGGTGCAAATTACAGGGTGATCAAAACAACATGTATGGAGGGTTAGTCCTTAAAATACTGAGAAAAACTTTGCTTTGATCTGTATCTTAAATAATAATATTAATAAATAAAATAATAGAGAGTATAAATGTTCATTTGAACACCCATATAATGGTTCCTACCATTGTATATGCATATTATGCCCCAGGTGTAGGGGAAAACAACTCTGGGTATAATAAACCAAAAAGGGTTATGAGTGGTGGATTTCCCTAGGAATACAAACCAAAAAAAAAAAAAAAAACGCATGCAAAAGATCCCCTTCGGTCGACAACCTAACATGGACACTTAATTGAGAGTAATTGAATAGATTTATAGTCGAAAAAAGTAGAAATTTAAATGAGTATCTCTTCAGGGTGATTACAGGCCAAAATAACATACAAAATAATCTGCAAAGTAAATAAAATATTATGCAAAGTAAATAACCTGTAAATCTTAAAAAAATACATTAAGCTTACCTTCCTCCCTAAACATAAACAAAGTAAAAAGTATTCAAAATAAATGGGCAGGCCACCCCCACAAGCTCAAACTCTCAATGTTGCAAGCACACATCGACATTTGGACAATAATCAAGTTTGGTCGTCAACCGGAGAGGTAGGGAAATCCAGGAGCTCTCCACTCCCAGCACCAGCCGCACCAAAATCAGCTCCTCGAACTCTGCTGGAAGTTTTGTTTTTATAGCTCTCCATGAACAGCAGCCAATCAGAATCTGGACCACCTTAACATAGCAGCCTATGGAATAAGAAAAACCAACACAAGAAGGCGGGACAGAAAAAAACACATGCAATGCGCAACAAAAATAAATAAATAAATAAATAATCATCGTAACAATGGATAATCAGTCTATGCGAGAAAAAAATCAACAGTCTGAAACCAGCAGATTAAAGCACCGAAAGACAATGTAAGTGTTCACAAGACATTTTTCTTGTAAAATCAGTGTTTGTTTCTACATATAGCCTAAACATAAAGTAAAAATTAGTTGCATAGTTTATATAGTTTTTTCTACAGTAACCTCTTAAATAGCTACTCAGAAGATACCGTAGGTCAGAATACACTAAATATCCTACAAAACATTGAAAATTAAATACGTACTATTATTAATAAATTAGATGCAATTTAAATAAATAAATAAATACATACTTTTGGTTACTGAAGCATGTATTACACAAACTAACATTAGTAAAAATATTGACCCCCTGATAGTCAGTGTAATTCACACCCTGCTGTTGACCCCCTGCCTCGTTTCTGTCTCAGTGTCTCATAAAAGGGAATTTCTCTGGTCCATTCATAAAGGTTTTTTTGTACCATCTGTCTGCAGGCGACTATGTTGGGCGAACGCTACAAGCAGGGAAAACTGCACGCCTACAAGCTCATCTGTAAGATCATGAAGAGAAGACAGGACGTTTCCCCAAACTCTGACTTCCTCACGCACTTCTACAACATCATGCACTGCGGCCTGCTCCACCAAGACCAGGTGTGCTAGCAGTGCATTGTCAGATATTTGATCTTTGATCTTTGAATTGATATACAGTTACATTGTAAGCTTGACTGATGAGCAAATGAGTTTGTTTTAATAATAATTCTAAAACAATAATCAAATTATTCATAATGAAATAATGACTTATTATTATTAATATGAATTTTTTATAAGCTAGATTCTAAAGCATGTGCAGTCAAATTATTAGTTCTCAAATTATTAGAAGATTAACTGTACATTTATGTTAATAAGGTGCTGACCTTTTTCCCATAGGATATTGTGAACACCATCATTAAGCACTGCTCTCCACGCTTCTTCTCTATTGGACTTCCAGGAGCCACAATGCTCATCCTGGACTTCATCGTGGCAGCTAGTCGTGTCACTGCCTGCTCGTCCCTCAATGTAGGAAATGCTTTCTGTTTCTTAACATTCTGTTCAAATAATTAAACTTTGTACTTTTTTAATTGTCTTTATCTGTTCTCTGTGTTTCTCCAAGGCTCCACGGGTGGAGGCTCAGATCTTGTTGGGTTCCCTGGTTTGCCTCCCAAACTTGTACAATGAACTTCCTGCACTGCATCCTACAACAGCCGACATCATCATGACCAAATTCACTGATGTCAAGGTATAAAGTCCAGGACCCAGATTGCAAAATACAGCATTTTTATGTAGATAAATTGTGTTTTAATATGATTTGGTAAAACTACTAGTGCTGGGCAAAAAAAATATTTTTATTATTAGCCCCCCTTAGAATTTTTTTTGTTATTCAAATATTTCCCAAATTAAGTTTAACAGAGCAAGGAAGTTTTCGCAGTATGTCTGATAATATTTTTCCTTCTGGAGAAAGTCTTATTTGTTTTATTTTGGCTAGAATAAAAGCAGTTTTTTATTTTTTTAAACACCATTTTAGGGACAAAACTATTAATAAAAGCTATAAATTTTTTCGATAGTCTACAGAACAAACCATCATTATACAATAACTTGCCTAATTACCCTAACCTGCCTAGCTAACCTAATTAACCCAGTTAAGCCTTTAAATGCCACTTTAAGCTGTATAGAAGTGTCTCGAAAAATATTATTTACTGTCATCATGGCAAAGATAAAGTAAAGCAGTTATTAGAAATTAGTTATTAAAACTGTTATGTTTAGAAATGTGTTGAAAAAAATCTTCTTACCGTTAAACAGAAATTGGGGGAAAAAATCAACAGGAAGGGCTAATAATTCAGGGGGACAAAAAATTCTGCCATGGATCCACTGACAACCTTTCATGAAAAAAAGTTGGGGTGTTGACGACTAAAACGAAGATCGGGGAGGTGGGGGTGGGTGTTTTGGGCCCCTAATAACGTCTCTTGGTGCCCCTAAATGCGTCGCCCCTTATAATACATATACATAATACAAATACATATGTTTTATATATATAGCAGCTGATGGTCAGAACAGCAGAAACCATTGCTACTTTGCAAACGTCACTTTAGAGCTAGTATTTGAATGATTCTCTTGCGTAATGTCTAAAATGATAACATAACAGGTGATTATGCTCACATTTAAGATTATAAGGCTGAACGATATGAAATGCCATAAGTCTACAGAGATTTCTTAGTATTTTTCTGTTGCAATAAGGAGATCACAGCAATTAACCCCAAAAAAGCCAAAGCAGAGCCAACCCTATCAGATTATTGTAGTATAAACACAGCACTACAACAAATACGAGATATTCGACTTAGATGTCACTCACATACCTGTTCTGTTATGATTTGTTCAGCTGTAGTTTGAAACGTACACTGAAGAAATACTGTTTTTCTCCCCTAAGGACTATGTGGTCTCTGCCGCCATCTTGTGGCGGAACGTTAACCGTCTTTGCTCAGTATGAAAGGCTGGCTGTCACTCTGAAATTATAAATATTTAAAATAGGCACTGTCCTTATAAATAAACTGCATAGTTACAATCTAAACAGCTACATTCTCGACTAAAAAAGCCTCAAAAGTACATTATGTTGTCCAACTGCTGCAGTATTTGTCAAACTGTATAAGTACAAATTGTATATATGTATATTTATTGTACATATGTATATTTGTTACTTTTGTAATTATCATACATATAACAATATATTATGCCAATGCATTCGGATCAGCAATTTGTTGGAGCCTTCAGTAATCTTATTTTACAATAAGCCCTTCTAATGAAAATTGATTGACTCTAAATTAACCTACAGGTCTCTTATAGCTGTTTTTGAATAGCAGGAAGCATTTTAAAATAGACCTAAACACTTCAGCTCTTAATTCTCACTAGTTGTTCAGACAGCCATTCAGTTAATCAGTGGTTGTGTTTATCTGTCCTCCAAACAATTTCTGGCATTACCAGCAGCTTCATAAGACCACAAACCTTCATCCTGTGTGTGTAGTCCTGGTTTAACCTCCGAACCGCCGTCTGCCCTCATGCAGATCCAAGTGGCTGAATGTATGCCACTCCGACACAGGGAAATCTGCTGTAATTGTTCCTGCCGCCACTAATGTGCTAATGGCCGATCAGCAATGCAGGCCTGTTGTTATTGTGCTTTCCGTGTTGTTCTGAGCGACAGTAAGCAGCTAATGCCATGCGGCGAGGCGTCCTTCACTCGCATGCAGAAATTCACATGATGGCATCTGATAACCAGAAGCAGGCCATGAATGACAAGACCGTGGTTAACGTGATCTGTTTTCTCTGTGTGTGTGTTTGCGCGCACAGATGCTGCTTTTCCAGATGGTTGGAAATGTCATGTTTCGAGTTGCCAGATTGCTGGTTTTATGTCAGATTTTGTGTCTGTTGTGAGCGCTTGTGATCATTATCTGTTTGTCTGTCTGCATTATCTCGCTCTGTGCATCTGTGTCTCTGGTGGCAGTGTGTGTGTGGGGTGTATTGTGTGGGTTTTTTGTGTGTGCGTGGATAAGAAATGGGTGATGGATAATCGGATACTCCAGAGATGGAATGAAATTGATCTGTATCAGGATGGCACCAGTTTGCTGAATAGGATTTTTTGTCAATGACTTTTTATTGATGTTTTTATTAGAACTGAAAGAAATGCATTGGTGTTTGTGTGTGTACTGCCATTTAAAAGTTGGTGGTGAATTAAGAAATGAACACGTTTCTTCTACAAGGATGCCATTAATTTGATCAAAAGTGAAAGTATTTTTAAAATAATAAATATGTATGTTTTTTTTCAATTTTAAACTATTAACTACTTCCACGCAAATGTTACATATCACAATTGTTTTGGACTCTTTATTGACCAAATCATATTTGGATCATTTCTGTAGGATCTTATGAAACTAAAGAAAAATCCACAGAAATTGTGTTTTCAATTCAATTTAATTGACATGACAAATGTTACAAATGTATTGCCAAAGCATTTATAAAGGGCATACTCACACTATGTCATACGGACCATGCCCAGGCCCGTTTCCCGGATCGTTTGAGAAGTGTGAGTGTGCTGAATCGGGCTCAAGCACGGTTTACTTGGGCGGCCCTGGCCGGGTTGGAAGAGGTGGGCCTGAGCGCGGTTCACTTGGGCTTTCGCCAAAGCTCGAAACTGAAAGCGAGACGTGACTTTTAAGGGACTGTTTCATATAGGTTAATTAATCATTCTTACTGTTCAGTGAACGCAAACTGCCGTAGCTTATCAAATACGCAAACCCCTCACTGCACGACAGCTGCGCACCTTCAGCAGACCTCCTCATTCCTGCAGCACGAGAGCTGTATGATTGTTTATGAGCGCCAAAAGTGGCGGATCTGTTCGGCGAAATATCTGACTGCGTGTCTCCGCATCCCTAAGGACTGTTTGGCGAAATATTTGACTGCATGTCACTGCGTATCAAACCGACTGAAACTATATAACTAGAAAAATGTCCACTGTGCTGCTGAGGGACAGCGCTTCTCACTGAACAGCGCAGCATCGATGACGTAAGCGTGCCGAGGCCCGATTGTGGTGTGAGTGCGGGCCGTCAAGTTTACATTAAAGGGCTGGGTGTAGGTATAGTGTGTCCACCGCAGTATTGGGATAAGTTACTAGGGTACGTAATCGATTACAAATTACTGATTACTACTCGAAAATTGTAATCTGATTACATTGCTAATTACATAATGTAAAAAGTAATCAAATTACTAATTACTTAGAAGTTACTTTTATAACGTATAAAATATAAAAATACAAAATATGCTGCAGCTCTTTTAGTAATTTATTGTTCACTGAAAAACATTACATGGCGAAAGGGTGGCGCGGTGGGTAGCATGTTCGTCCCACAGCAAGAAGGTCGCTGGTTCGAGCCTCGGCTGGGTCAGTTGGCGTTTCTGTGTGGAGTTTGCATGTTTTCCCCATGTTCGTGTGGGTTTCCTCCTGGTTCTCCGGTTTCCCCCACAGTCCAAAGACATGTGGTACAGGTGAATTGGGTAAGCTAAAAATGATCGTAGTGTGTGTGTATGAATGAGGGTGGATGTTTCCCAGTCATGGGTTGCGGCTGGAAGCGTAAAACATATGCTGTATAAGTTGGCGGTTTATTAATAAAGGGACTAAGCCAAAAAGAAAATGAATGAATGAATGAAAAACATTACAATGGGTTGATAGCTTGACATTTTCAAAAGCGGTAAAAAGATAATTCATCATTTACTTGTTTTAAACCCATTTGTCTTTTTTTTTCCTTTTCTTTTTTTTTTTATACAAATGAAGGACTGAAGAAACCTGGATACCTGTACCCATTGACGTTCATAGTATGAAAAAGCACTGCAGTGTTCTGTGCTTGTCTGAGGTGTTTATTCTACCGAAATGTGAATGTATTAAGTGTGAAGCTGATCGGTCTGTTCATGCTCCTGGGAAATGCGAGCGCGTGCAATATGTGCTCTATATGTGCGCACACAATTTGCGCTCCCAATATGCCAAAAGTCGTGATATGTGAACGGCCCCAGAAGCAGCTCAGAAGATATCTTCACTCTCAATCCTGCTCAAAAATCCAATTTAGCCTGTTTAGGTTGAGTTGAGGGCGAGGCAGTGGCGCAGTAGGTAGTGCTGTCGCCTCACAGCAAGAGGGTCGCTAGTCCGAACCTAAGCTCAGTTGGCCTTTCTGTATGGAGTTTGCTTGTTCTCCCTGCCTTAGCGTGGGTTTCCTCCGGGTGCTCCGGTTTCCCCCACAGTCCAAAGACATGTGGTACAGGTGAATTGGGTAGGCTAAATTGACTTGTTTATGAGTGTGTGTGTGGATGTTTCCCAGAGATGGGTTGCGGCTGGAAGGGCATCCGCTGTGTAAAAAACTATCTAGATGAGTTAGCGGTTCATTCTGCTGTGGCAACCCCGGATTAATAAAGTAATATAAATATATATATTAAAAGAAAGGAAACATTTCTGGATAAAACTGTAATAATAAATAATAATTAGTATATTTACAGTGATTAATTAATAATAATCTTGATGTGTGTGTGTGTGCGTGCCTGCATGTGTGTGTGAGTGTGCGTGCGTGCGCGTACGTGTGTGTGATGAAAAAGTTGCGAGTAAAATACTCAAAAATTTCTGTAGATAATCTTGTTAATATAAATGACTGTTTATGATATGTAGGTATTTTATGGTTTATATGAATTGGCTCTATTGTAGAGGAATGTTAAGATTGTTTGTTGACCAAATGAAACCGCTGACGATCTCACTGTGGAATATTCAGTAGAAACTCATCTAGTCAGAATTTGTAGCCCCGTTTATTTTTTTTTCCTATTTCTGTTTACTGGAGAGAAGACTTTTTCAACACATTTCACAATAGTTTTGATAAATCATTTCTAATAACTGATTTATTTTCTCTTTGCCATGATGACAGTTAATAATATTTTACATGATCATTTTCAAGATACTAGCATTCAGTTTAAAGGGACATTTAAAGGCTTATCTAGGTTAATTAGGCAAGTTAGGGTAAAGAGGCAAGTCATTGTAAAACAGTTGTTTGCTCTGTAGACTATTGAAAAAAATGCTTAAGGGGGCTAATAATTCTGACCTTAAAATGGTTTTCAAAAAATTACAAACGGCTTTTTATTTTTTATTTCAAAGTAATAGTGTATTACCACTTGGATCAAATATTGAGCATATAATTAAAAACAAAAATATAGACCCCACATTTTTTAGCTTGTAAAATGCACCATGAAATTAAGTCCAATGTCCAGTTTGATAGTTTGTCTTTGTTCCTCTGTTTCAGGAGCATATAATCAAGCACATCCTGACCTCTGCCAGAGATGAGCCTTCTGCTCCAGCCAGGTAAAACTAACAATCTGTTTTTGTCAGAACTGTGAATTTTTTTTTTTATAATTACATTTAGGCCCAATTCTACCCCTTCGCTCTTCCTCTTTAGGACACCCCTACACGTAAGTATGCAAAATGAGGGGTAGCGGTGTCCCAATTCTTTTAGGTTTGAAGCGTAGGGCTAAGGGGAAGGGGTAAATAGACCTTGAAACTGAGATTTTTTTCAGGACCACACTCAAAACCAAAGGGTAAGAAAATTTCCCAGAATTACACCAGCCACAACAGCAGCATAGTTGCACACAGAAGTCAGGAGATCAACAAATGAGTATTTTTTATTGTCATTAATAAAACTTTTTACAACAAACAAGCACATGGGTTAATATATTCAAATTTACCTCAATTTTAACACTGAATAAAGCACATGAGGTCTACCTGAGATGATCATTGTCCGTTTTCTATTGTTCAGCTGCAAGAAATAGAATATGTTATATCAATTTGAGGTGTTGGTTAGAGCGGAAAGGAAATATTCCTTCTATCGCATGCCATTGCTTCTTTATAGAACACTCGCTCCTTTTGGCTCTGGCAACCTGCGCTTGAGTTTGTTTTGATCCTGGAATGCAATACCTAGTTCAACCACTGGGTGTCAAACTTACATACAGCACAATTAAACTACATCGCTGTAGTGAAATAGCAGTTTCCCATATGCATAACTCAAATATAAAACTTTCTATTAATAACAGGCAGGAGTTTAAAATCTACTTCATCCAGAAATGGACTTTTGATGTGGTTACACATTCAACGATCTCTTCAAATGATGTTTCCTATTTAATTTTCTCTATGTAGTGTTGTAGCAACTTCTTAATGCTGTCAGTTTTATTGTTGTAGCATGTGTGGAAATGTTTAAACCATGTGTGTTACAACTTATCCCTTCATTAGTTTGTTCCCTGCTCTACCTTACATTAAAGTTGGTATTACTTACTGCATAATTGTAGCTGGTTTAATAGCCTGCCTGAGATTTATTTCATTAATACGGTCCTTCACATTTCTGATATTGTAATGGTCTGTTTTCCAGGTCAGTGCATGCTTCTAGATTTGGTGTTGAAAAGAAAGCAAGCGAGCCCCGTGCCAGACAGATTAATAACTCTGTCCATTGCGGTCGGTGGTAAAGCGCTGTGGGGTTATGTGTCTGCTCATATCTAGACAGATTAGGAGCAGTGTCATTTAAAGTAATCCAGGACTCAGTGGGATTAGAGTGCATCCTGATGGGGCTCAAGTCATTAGAAGCCCCCCATCACTCCCTGCTGAAAAAGTTTGGGTGTTTTTTATTTTGAGAGAAAAAGTCAGGAAAGGCTTAGATCATGGAATGGTGCAGACAGGAGGCTGGATTAAATTTCTGTGGCCTTCTAGTAGTTAAGATGCGTGTCCCAGTCTATTCCTTCTATACAATGAGAGGTTGGCCCCTTTAAGATAATTACATTTTTAAATATGTTTAAGGTTTTATATACCATAAATTTATTTATGGTTCTATCTGTCTTTCTGTATTTATTTATTTACAATGGTTTATTTAATTATTTATTTTACATCGATAATATTTCTTTATTTACATTGATTTATATTTATTTATTTACATGTTTTTATATTTATGTATTTACATTCATTTATTTTTATTTATGCATTTATATTTATATATTTTCAGTCACTTATATTTATTTATTTACATGTATTTACATTTATTTACATTCATTCATATTTATTTATTTATTTACTTTCATTTAAATTTATTTATTTACATTTTATATTTATTTATTTACACCAATTTATATTTATTTACATTCATATGTATTTATTTATTTACATTTATTTGCATTAATTTAATATGTTCATTTACATTTATTTTGTTATGTTCATTCATATTTACTTATTTACATTAATTTATTTTTATTTACACTAATTATATTTATTATTTATTTACATTCATTAATTATATTTATTTACATGTATTTACATTATAGTTTAAATTGATTTGTTTGCATTGACTTATTTATTTATCTATTTACATTTATATGTATTTATTTGCGTTGATTTATATTTACTTACATGTATTAATTTCGTTTAATTAATATTTGTTTGTTTATTTAAAATTTTTATTTTACTTGTTTTCAGTGCTAATGAATAACTAATAATAATACTACAATAAAATGTTTTCTAAATTTTGGCTATTTTAGATTTTGTAATGCTAATGGTCAATAACAATTAATTGAGTCAAATTGACAGTAATTATCTTTGTAATATTGTTACATTGATAACGTGACATTTGTAATGTTACAAAAATATCAGGTTAACTCGCATATCCACAGATACAAGCACACATATACATGTATACACATATTGTATATAAAGACAGTACAATACAATGACTATTTTAACATATTGAGGTTTTTGCATTCTTTACCGGTGTAATCATACTTCATGTCTTATGTTGCATGAAAAAAATTGTGATAATAGCCAAAATACATTGTGTGGTTCAGAATTATTAATTTGTTTAATGCCAAAAATCATTAAAATATTAAATATAACCTTTATTGAAGACATGGTCATTTTTCTACTGTAAATAAATCAAAACTTGGTAAAGTGCATTGCTAATGACTTCATTCAGACAAGATTAAAGGCAATGTTCCCTAAATCTTTTGATTTATGTATTTTTTTCACCCTGAGATTTTCAAATAGCTCTATCTTGGCTAAATATTGTACTATCCTAACCAGCCATAGGTCACGCTTAAATAAATAAAGCTTTTATATTCAACTTTCAATCATTTATGAATGTCAGTTTCCCAAAACGTACACCTACTACTGTACTAATTGTTTTGTGGTCCAGGGTCTCATTTGTGTTTCAAGCAGAGAGTTTGCATATACAATACATCTTTAAGTATTGATTTTAGCAGTGTTGCTAATTGTCTTTTAAATTAAATGTTTCACCTTTTATATTTTAAGTTATATTTAAAAGTTATGTCCTTGTTTTTACGTTTCAGGTGTGTGGCGCTCTGTAGTCTGGGTATTTGGCTGTGTGAAGAGCTGGTTCATGGCACTCAGCATCCGCAGATCAAAGAAGCGCTTAACGTCATCTGTGTCACTCTCAAGGTAAGGGATGTTCATTTAAACATAAAAAAACACACAGAAACACAAATTCTCCCGTTAAAGATTGATTATAAATGCAATAGAAGCATCTGTCTTGTAAAAGAAGCGTCGCTGGCAATGTAAGTGCGCACAGCAGAGAAATGATGGCATTGCCCTTGGCCTGAGTCTTCTGAAGCCGTTCCTGATGCCTGGGCTCACTGCACTGGCACAAGGGTTTTCTGCTCATCCAGAAGAAGATTATTCCATACTCCCTGCACCCACCGCTACCAGCCTTCCTAAATCTGGACCGTCAACATGTTTGGCTTCTCCGCTCCTCACAGACAGAAGGCTAATCCACTGAAGAATGCACGCTTCAGAGACTTCGAGGAATTATTACATTTCTGTCTGAAACCAAAGATGGGGCCAACAGAAGCGCACATACTCAAACTCTGGTCCAATCGCAAGAGTCCGTCTGTCATGGGGTCGATTCTATTGGCTTTTCAGGGGAATCTGGTGTCAGTGCGAGGGTTAGATGTGAGGGTCTCGCTCCTTTGGGGTCGTTCCATGAAGCAGAATTAGCAAAGACTCATCCCAACTTAATCAGCTCAGATGAGACCCATAGTTTTGCCGTGCACATGTCTGAGCACATTGAAGTTTGAGTTTTAATATAGGCATTTTTCTATCTATCTATCTATCTATCTATCTATCTATCTATCTATCTATCTATCTGTCTGTCTGTCTGTCTGTCTGTCTGTGTCTGTCTGTCTGTCTGTCTGTCTGTCTGTCTGTCTGTCTGTCTGTCTGTCTGTCTGTCTGTCTGCCTATCTGTCTATCGTTCTATCTATCATGTCTGTTCATCTATGCTGTTGTTGATGTATTTACATTCATTCATTCATTTTCTTTATGGCTTAGTCCCTTTATTAATCTGGGATCGCCACAGCAGAATGAACCGCCAACTTATCCAGCATATGTTTTACGCAGCGGATTCCCATCCACAAACACTCATTCACATACAATACAGACTATTTAGTTTACCCAATTCACCTATAGTGCTTGTTTTTGGACTTGTGGGGTAATCCGGAACACCCAGAGGAAACCCAAGCAAACACAGGGAGAACATGCAAACTCCAAACAGAAATGCCAACTGACCCAGCCGGGGCTCAAACCAGCAATCTTCATGCTGTGAGGTGATTGTGCTACCCATTACGCCACCATGCTGCCCTGTATTTACATTATATTAATTATTTTTTTGTTATACTAATAAGTAAAGCTGAAATCCCATATCCTGACATCATATCATAGCTTGATAATGATATACCGTTAAAGTCAGAATTATCAGCCGCCTTTTTTATTTTTTTTATAAAGTTTCCTAAATAATTTTTAACAGGGCAAGAAAAATTTCACAGTTTGTCTGATAATATTTTGTCTTTTGGAGAAAGTCTTATTTGTTTTATTTTTGATAGAATAAAAGTTTTAAATTTTTTAACCATTTTTAAGGTCAAAATTATTTGCCCCTTTAAGTTATATATGTTTCTCAATAGTCTACAGATCAAACCATCGTTATACAATAACTTGCCTAATTACCCCAACTAATTAACCTAGTTAGGCCTTTAAATGTCACTTTAAGCTGTATAGAAGTGTCTTGAAAAATATCTAGTCAAATATTATTTGCTGTCATCACGGCAACGCTAAAATAAATCAGTTATTAAAAATAAGTTATTAAAACTATCATGTTTAGAAATGTGTTGGAAAAATCATCTCACCGTTAAACAGAAATTGGGGGGAAAAAATTAACTGTGGAGCTAATAATTCTGACTTCAACTGATCATGATATTGTACCATTTTTGTTAATTCTATCAATTATAGTTTCGCACCTTATTTAGATTGTCAGGGCAAATATTTGTTTAAAAAAAAAAGTATGAAACTAAAATAAAAATGTTAATGAAATAAAAAAACACTTGTCTAATACTAATGACAGTTACTGGTCCAACATTAAAATAAAAAAATATTTCTAAACAAAAGTCAAAATGTAAACATTGTACTTTCAAGATTAGTTTTCTTGTGACACTGTCTTTCATGCTTTTGTCTGCATTTTTGTAATGGTGTGTAATATTGCACTACTATAAATTATTAAAAAGTAAAGAATGCATTTTGTGACACCACAAAATAAACAATGGAGTATAATATAAAGCAATAGATTTTTCATTTTGTCCATACGATACATATTGTCATACTGCTCAGCCTAATAATACAATATACTGTAACATGTTTTGGGTCGATGCTATTGTCTTGAATCTGGTGTTAGTTCAAGGGTTAGACATGAGGGTCTCTCTCCTTTGGGGTCGTTCCATGAAGCAGAATTAGCAAAGACTCATCCCAACTTAATCAGCTCAGATGAGACTCACCATACAATTTACCCAGCACATGTCTGAGCACATTAAAGTTTGTTGATTGCTTTAACCGTTGATCCCTTCCTTGCAGTTCTCCAATAAAAACGTCGCCCTGGTGGCTTCAGACATTTTGCACCTGCTGATAAACTACGTGGATGAACTGGAGAAATTTCCACCCAACACTCCAAAGAAAATAGTGGAGGTAAAGTCCGTCGAGCTGAAAGCGGATTTTAAGTGAAGCTTGATTCTTAAAGGGACACATTTACTCTTCGCATTTACTCTTCATTTGTTCTGAACCTATTTGAGTTTCTTTCTTCTGTTGAACACAAAGGAAGATATTTTGAAAAATGCTGCATTAGCTGCATCCAAAATTGCATACTTACTTCCACAGTATGTCCGGATTCAAAGTATTCAAAAATGACCTAACACTTGCAGCGAGATAATGAAGTGTGCATCAGATGGACACTACGCTATTCCAAGATGCCATGCAAGAGAATTATTGTAGTATGTCCATTCATACTACTCATATTCATACTATATAGAATGTACTTTTCTAACAAACATGTAGTAATTTCAAGTTCAGATGTAGTACCTACTCGAGTAGTAGGCAATTTCAGACTCAGCCATTTACTTCCATCATGATTTTTTTTCTTGAATCACTTCAGTATATTCTTTGAATTTTTACTGAATCACTCTGCTGTTTATTTCCCTATTCTTTTTAGAATATAACTAAGCCTTTAATTGTATTTTTAAGGGATTTACAGGGATTTACATCCTCACTTTAGATGAGCTCAAAAAACAGTAGGAATTTATTAACATAAAGAGTAACCGTTAATATATGCCTAACAAATAAGATGTATAAATGTTCATTTAAATAGTTTATTAATCATTTACATATTCTGAATGATCGGGAAAACTACCTGCTTATCTTAAATGACTGGTTTGTAAATAATGCAATACTTAATGAACAATCATACCGTTGAGCACACTAAATATGAAGAGTTTATATGCAAAAACCGGTAAAAGCCATTAGACATTTTCTTCTAAAATTAGCATTTTTGTCAGACTCTTGTGTGTAGGCTCAGTAATTTAACTTTTCTAGTGATGAATAAGTTATTTACATTGTCTTTAAAGGGAAATAACTGAACATAAACATAGGAGGCTGAAAAAAATGGTAATTTCAGAAAGACATTTTAGACCACATTGAGAGATTTTTGCATCTGAACTCTTCATATGTTCATATACTGTAAGTCATGAATACAGAATTTGTAGCTGTATTTATTTTTTTTTTTTATGAACTGCTTACTAATGTTTATTAACAGAGTTAATGCTTAAGAAATTATGATATAGCTGTTTGTTAATGCTTAATAAATGATTCATAGTGTGCTGTTATCGTAAAGTATTATCTTTTTTTTCCTACTATTGAAGTCAGTGGGTTCCTGCAGCCAGCATTCTTCAAAACATCTTGTTTTGTGTTGAATAGAAGAAACTATAAACAAGGAATAAATGATGATTATTTTCAGTTTTGAGTGAACTGTCTCTTTAAATGTGAAATTAATGTGTGTTTTCTACTTTTTAGGTTCTTATTGCAACCATCACTTACCTTCTTCCAGCCACAGAGTCCTCTCCTCATGAGCTGGACAAGAGGGTATGTTTCAGTAATACAAAGCAAAAATAAACTCCTAAAAATGTGAAATAAAAAACCCTTATGTTGTTTGTTCAGCTAACATCTTTTGTATGCAAACAGTATTTGCTCACTATTACATCTTTTGAAAACACACTTATAGAGTTATTTGACAATGTCCGGGCTTTTTTGTTGTTTGTATAATGCTGATTAATTTCAAATTACGATCTGTCCCAGTAACATATTCTCTTCATCATTTTCTCTGTTGTGTCTTAAAAAGTGGATGAAAAAAACAGTTTGTCCTAATATTAACTTGTATGATGTTGGAATTTACAATCAATTCCATGCGTGTTCAAAAAAAAAAAAAAGGTCAGGAGAGGTTTTTCTTCAATGTCAAAAATCGCAACAATTTATTGGATACAAATGAATAATTCGATTCACAGAATTCTGTTATCCTCAATGCAATGCAGAAGTTACATTAAGGAGGTGCGCAACAACCTTCTTTTCCCGACTTCTTCAACTTATATAGGCAGCTTATATTAACAGGTGGAGTTTAATGAAATTCGTCATTTGTTAGTCATTGATCAGTCCTCCATTGGCTGCACCATAGACATACTTCCTCTTTTTCTACAAATTCTCTGCACAACAAAAAAAAAAAGCATACAACTTTCTGTGCTCTTTGTTCAGTTTTAACACCTCTCTTCAGACAGAAAGTTTCTGCAGAGCTGAATTTAATTTTGGACCTGCATCCATCTATTTCTGCAAAAATGCTAATTAGTATGCACAGCACTCGCACACAACAGTAGAAGTTCAGTTAATATATGACCCTTACATGACCAATACAAATAATTGTTTGATAAAAGAACAACAGACAAAAATATTATAAAAAAAGATTCCTATTGTCCAACAATGATTGATTATTTCTGTGTGTTTTACCGCACTAAATATATCTCAAAATAATTTTTTTTTTTTTTTTTACATTTTTTTAAATTTCCATTGAAACAGTTCTGCTATTTGTAGCATTAGAGTTGTAGCAAAAAAACTACTTCAGATAGATTTAAGAATACACATTTGTAAATAATATTTATAACATAATATCATGCATATAACATTGACACTATGCAGTATTCACTATTGGAGAACATTCATCTTAGGCAGCATATTTGTCATGTGGTGTTCCCCAGGGATATATTTTAGCCCCTATTCTTTTCTCCTTCTATATGCTTTCTCTGGGCTCTATTTTTAGTAAACACAGTTTGTCTTTTCACTGTTATGCGGATGACAACCAAATCTACCTGCCTTTAAAACCAAGTTCAAGTGGCCTCACGACTCTTCTTCTATTTTCAGATGTAAAAGCCTGGTTGTCTTTAAACTTTCTAGATTTTGATGAGAGTAAGACTGAGATCATTTAGTTCGGCCCATCAAACTCTTCTAGAGCACCAATAGTTAATCTTGAAATTTTTCTATGAAGCCCTGGGTAAAAAAATCTGGCTGTTATTCTGGATGATGGCTTGGGATTTGACAAACAGATAAATGCAGTGATTAAATCCTGCTTCTTTCAGCTTCGGCTTTTAAAAATAGTCAAATCTATTCCATCTAGAAAAAGTGTTGAAAAAAAATTATCCATGCTTTTATTACCACTAGATTGGACTATTGTAACTCACTATACTTTGGGATTAGTCAGAAAACCTTATTAAAAACCTTATCTTGTTCACAGTTAGTTCAAAATGCTGGTTCAAGGCTTTTCAGAGGTATCGAGAAACATGACCACATCACACCAGTTTTACACTCTTTGCACTGGTTGCCTGTGCATTATCGAGTCACTTTTAAAATTCTTCTCCTGGTTTTTAAATCTCTAAATGGCCTGTCAGACATGTTGATTGAGCATCAGCCTGGTTGGTCTCTTCGGTCATTCAACCAGAGATTGTTATGCATCCCTAATGCTGAGTTCAGACTGCATGATTTTCAAAGTAATTGTGTCGCAGATGTTTTCACACTGCATGACTATCTGGGCTAGCGTTCTGTCACTGCTTTGTTTACACTGTAGGATGAATCGGCATCAGGACGTTTCACACTGCATGACTTTACTTTAGGAAGAATCACAGACAACTTTGTCCAAACTACGTCTCGCAACCAAAGACGTAGTATGTCTTTTGTTATTAACTACATAATGAGAAAGACGCCTTTAATGGGGTATAATATGTACATATTTCCTCACCTGGCTTTAAAGGAAATTAGCAATTTCTCCTCAACTTTTTTTTTCGACCTGGTTGTAATATTGCTCACATGACACAACAAACAGACACGTGTGCTCCGGCCAAACTTACACTAGTTTTTCCTCCATTTTTTGGGTCCAAATAACCTAGAATAAATGAGCGCTTTTAACTTTTTCCCCAACCTCCCGCTGGCCTGCAGGTACCCACACTAGTGGATGCTGCTTTCTTATTGGCTGTAGGTGATCGCTGATGTTATTTTCAGTCAAAACTTATTTCACACGGCATGATTTGAATCTCCGACAGCTCCAGATATTTAGCATGCCAAATATCTCAAAGGCATCGGCGACTCATTGGCGATTCTTTCAGATCACTTCTTTGATAGTTCACATTTTGTGATTGTTACTCACATGAACGTCACCGATTTGCTGTGAATTTAGGCATTTGTTGGCAATTTCTCAAAACCTGTTGGCGAGTCAAAATCAAGGCTAAAATCATGCAGTCTGAACTCGGCATAAGCCAAGGCTGAAATGCAAGGGTGACCTTGCCTTCGCAGTAGCTGGTTGTGGAATGCTCTGCCCCTCTGTATTAGTTCTGTTTCGTTTCTGTCTGTTTTTAAATCTAGGTTGAAAACTAACCACTTTGATTTGGCATTTTATCAATGAAAATTGTCTGTTTTAGCTATAATTTAATGTTTTTCTTTGTTGTTATGTGTATTGTGCAGCACATTGGTCACCCTCTGGTTGTGTTTAATAGTGCTATATAAATAAAATTGACATTGACAGTATTCAGCATTGATATGAAATAATTTATTTGACTGTCGACTAGTAATTCAACTTTGAAATTACATGAATAACTTAAAAATAATTAAATCAATAAAAATGCATTGAAATCCAAAGTATTTGTACCGTTTTAAAACACATTTGTTTACTCACTATTTCTCTTTTTCAGCTGGTTGTTTCTCTACTGCTGTGCTTGCTGGACTGGGTGATGGCTCTACCTCCGAAAACACTCCTCCAGCCGGTCCAAGGAGCCTCGGATAAGGAGAAAACTGACAAGTCTGTCCTCAGCTGCATCTATAAAGTATGATACCAGCACTCACTTATTTACATTTAGTTACATTTATGAGTATCCTGTGAAAACAGATAACATGCATGATGGAGATTTTGTCGAATTTCTAACCCCATTGTTCGTCTCTTAGGTCCTCCATGGTTGTGTCTATGGGGCTCAGAGCTTCAGTAACCCCAGTTACTTCCCCATTCACCTGTCAGACTTAAGCAGCCCAGACTACGACCCCTTCTTACTACTAGAAAACCTTAAGGAGCCGGAGCCACTCCATTCACCTGACTCTGAACGCTCCTCCAAACTGCAACCAGTAACTGAAGGCAAGTAAACACTTGTCGTCTTGTTATCCAGTTGTTGTTGTTTTTTTATGTTTATTTATCTGATAATTTGTCAGGTTCTACTCTCACTCTTCTCTTATGCCATTTCTGTCCCGAAGCATTTTTTTCTTGAGCTGAGTGATTGTTTTTTGTCAATGGTAGCGCTGCTTTTTTTAACATCCTCAGCATAGCGAGGCGCTAAGTGGGCATTTAACAGTCAGCGCTAACTGCTCAGTGTTGTTTCAGCCGGTGAAAAACGCAGCGCTCGTCGGTATCATTTTGAGCTAGCTGTCCAATCGCAGTGGAAGGGGGCGGGACAATGCCTCGCAAATGTCAACAAATAACCTACTTAAGACTTTCAACTTATAATCTGTATCATAGCAACTGACAGAAAAAAAATTGCTGTACACTCACGCAAAAACACTTCAGTGGACACGCAGTATTGCAGTTTGTTTTAAGCATCAAGTCTCTTTTTGTCCCTCACAAGCAATGTTTTCAATCAATCAATCAATCAATCAATCTTTTTTATATTATAGCACCTTACTACAACCAAGGTTTACCAAAGTGTTTTACACCAATAAAAACAAAATATACAACACTTGAAATCAAATAATGCAAGAAATTTTTGTACAATACAGCATAACATTAAGACAGAGAAAAGCATCAGTGCTACTTTGCATTAAAAGCCATTTTGATTTTTAACAATGGCGATCATACACCAGCAGCGATGACACATTGTGGACTATGAACAAAGTAAACACGGTAATCAGCAGCAATCCTGACAGACGCCATCTTACAATTCTAAGTTGTGAAATAAAAAATTGCATAATTTAAAAGTTGCGTGTACAATATGAATAGTGTGTGTGTGTGCGTGCATGCAAGCGTGCGTGTGTGTGCATAGATTATCTTTCATCCTTTATGAATAAGTTGCAACTGTTTGGGAACACAATTGTAAGAGAGTGTCTAAACTCGGTCCTGGAGGGCCGGTGTCCTGCAAAGTTTTGTTCCAACCCTACTCAGACACACCTGGGCTAGCTAATCAATCTCTTATTAGGCTTTCTACAAGCATCCTTGCAGGTGTGTTGAGGCAAGTTGGAACTAAAATCTGCAGGACACTGCCCCTCCAGGACAGAGTTTAGCTCCAACTTGCCTTAACACAGCTGTAAGGATGCTTCTAGAAAGCCTAATAAGAGCTTGATTAGCTAGCCCAGGTGTGTCTGATTGGGGTTGGAACTAAACTTTGCTGGACACCCGCCCTCCAGGAACGAGTTTGGACACCCCTGATATAGACAAATAAACAAGTATAGTGTACATATACATACTGGACTGATTTTTGCTGTGTTCTCTGATGAATCCCTTACCCAAAGAGCACCGACACATTATTTAAGCTGCCTCTGAGCACTTTTGGTTTGACTTTGGATTTTGAGACCTATTGATTTTTTTTTGTATGTAACCACTCAAAGTACCATTTGGACCAATAAGACATCACTGTGGGTGGAGCTACCCAACACAACCAACATAATCCTCTACTTCAGTGTTTCTCAACCACATTAATAAAGGACCACCAGCTCTGCACAGTTGCCATGTGTCCTTAACCCTCTACCTCAGTGTTTCTCAACCACATTAATAAAGGACCACCAGCTCTGCACAGTTGCCATGTGTCCTTAACCAAAGACACCTGATTCAGATCATCATCTCAAAGACTGAAAGACCTGTAATAAGTGCAACGGACAAAGGAGACATACAAAACATGCAGTGTTGGTGGTTCTCCAGAATTGTGGTGGAGAAACACTGCTCTGCCTGACCTAAACAACTTAGTACTTAGCCTAAATAGAAATGAATTTACTAACTGTTGCACTAAAGACAAAAAACAGATATTAAAATGCTTAAGCTTGATGTGCAGTGTTAATCAATATTTCTCCTATTGTCATTACCTTCTGTTGTTAAAACTTGCTGAAAAAAATCAGAAGCAAGAATGAACCACTTAATGTCTTCATCACTGAATCAGTTTGCTCCTTCAATGCTAGTTTCAGCATGTGTTAGGAAGAGGATGGTTTGAGATTGACTGCAGGGGTCTTTCTTCCTGTGCTGCCGGTGTTGTTCCTTCCTCCATCAGGGCAAAATAACTAATCATTGCAGCCCTGAGTGAGACATGTGTCCACCGCTTTCCTATCTCCTTTACTCTTGAAATTACTCCTAGCGCTGTATTCTTGCTAGATCGGAGGGCACTCGGCAGCCGAGGTGGTCCATACTAAAGGCTGCTTCATCAGGATAAAATCCCTCCCCCCCGAGAGCTTCGGTCTGCGAATGTTTTGGCTCATTACGGTGGTGGAGAGTGTCTCTGAATGTGATTGGTGTGGTGTGTTGATTGGGGGGAGTGGGCCTCTGGCACGTCGAGTGTACTGGTATTGGGCTGCTCTCTGCATGGTTTCTTTGTGAGTTCTGGCAGCATTTCGAGGAGGGAGTGTCTCCGCCGGGAGCTTCGAGGCATCTGCACCTCTCCCCAGGCATCCTGCATTCTTCATCACACCCTAATGTCCCCGTATTCACACCAGCCGTCCGCACCTTCACTCATCCCGGCTCTGCAGGAGCTTAACACTGATGGATCTGAAAATCACTACATCCCTGATGAAACCAGCGCTCTAACTGCTTTTCTTTACTTGTTTCTGACACCTCGTCATCATCACTGCTGGCTCCTTATGACTCTCGCTGTCTTGCAGACCTGTTTTGGTGGTTTTTAGTTGGATTGATCTTAAAAAGTGGTTAGTTTATCTGTGAGATCAACGATTTATTAGGTAAGGATTTGAGTAAAATGTTGAAGGTGCTGTATGCAAGTAATATTTTTGCAGATATCTAAGAAACATGCTAAGTTAACATTCTTGTTTATCTGAAAACCATGCTGAAGTCAGATATTCTGCTTTGAAAATGTGTTTTCCGTGCTGGAACGCTGTCTTTGTTTTGGTCATTTTAACCTGCTCAATGCCAGTTTAGCCAGTTATATTTCAGCACCTCGGGTTGCCTTGGTGGAAAACAGCGTATTTCATTCATTCAGTCAGAAAGGCTCTGAAAGCATGCATCCGTGACCAAAATGTGACCTCCGGTGGACAGTAGCAGACTCCGAAATGAGATCGGATTTAGAGTTCTACATGAGATTATTAATTAATTAGCAAATGATATAAATATTACGAACGTAAACATTAGGTAACATTGTAACCCCTTGTCCTAGCAACATGCTACGTGACGAATTTTGCTGTTAGCAATTTAAATACAGCCATTCAGAAGCACAGAATAGTGCACACACTCCTGAAATGGTAAGGTTTATAATCTAATTAATACATATTTAATCTCTTTAACATTATGAAATCAACATGTTAAATCACAGATTTGTGTTTAGTTTTAAAGTTCAACTTCAAACGTTTTTTTTATTCTGAAGATCTGAGGTGAACTATCTGCTGCTGCTTTCAGTAGTATAGCAATACATGTCATAAAATGGCATTCAGACTCGCATTGTTAGCATTTAACACTGCCAATGAGGTGTACCTGAGGTGATCATTATCAGTTTTCTCTTGTTCAGCTGCAAGAAATAGAAGCCATTTCTAATATATCAATTCGAGGTGTTGGTGAGAACAAAAATTCCTTATATTATGGAAAATATTCCTTCTATCGGGTGCCAATGCATTTATTTAGAGCACGGTTTAAGCGCTTGGATTTGTTTTGATCTAGGAGTGCAATACCTAGTTCAACCACTAGGTGTCAAACTTGCATACGAAAACGAAACACGACAGAATTTTAAATACAAGGTCTTGTAATATTTATTCCAAATTTGAATAAGTTTTTTCAGAAAATAACAAATCTGTTCATTTATTGTTGCTAAATATTAGGGAAATTCCAGCAAATGTTGCTTTATTTATTAACTATTTGTATTGTGTTGTCTAAAAAGTAATTAATACAAATGTCCGTTTAAAAAAATGGCTTATTATTTTGTTATTTATTGTGAAATTGATTTTTTAGCTATCAGCTAACCATCTACAACTCTCGCATGATTGTCCACTGAAGCTAAGCAGGGCTGCGTCTGGTCAGCACCTGGATGGGAGACCACATGGAGAAGCTATGTTGCTGCCTGAAGTGGTGTTAGTGAGGCCAGCAGGGGGCGCTCAACCAGCGGTCTGTGTGGGTCCTAACGCCCCAGTATATTGATGTTAACTCTATACTGTTCAGTGAGAAAAAAAGTTACATTTCCAGGATGTCCTTCGAAAGAATAAGAGTTTAACCCTGGCATCCTGACCAAATTTGCCCATTTTCCTCTGTCCATCATGGCCTCCTAACCATTCCCATATCATAATTATCTTCATCAGTCTGTCTCCTCTCCGCCAATCAGCTGGTGTGTGGTCTGACTCAATATGGCTGCCTTTGCTTTATTCAGGTGGATGCTGCACACTGGTGGTAGATGAGGACATTTCCCCAATGTGTAATTAAAATTTAAAAGCAATGCCATCAGTAGTATAGACAAAAAAATTTTAATACTTTAGTAACACCTTAGTTTAGGTCAAAATTTATGCTATTAACTACCATTTTATTATCTGCCTAATAATAAGATATTAACTCTTCATTAGTAGTTATACAGTATGATCTTATTCTGCATCCCTAATCCTACCCAACTTTTACCTTATTAGCTATTAACAAACAGCTAATTAGTAGTTTATTAAGCTAATACGTTAGTTAACGGTTTTTAATACAGTGAATTGTGACCTAAAGTGTTACTAATACTTCTTTTCACAAACACGTTATAAATCCAGAGAAAATGAGAATGTTTAACTGTTCACTTAATTTGTGCAAAAACATTTTGGGAAATCTGTCAAAAGTATTCTTTATTAGTCCTTTGCATTTAGATTTATAAATAGGTCCTTGGCATTTTATTTTAATGACTTTAAAAAAATTTTAAATTATGCTGGGTGATCCAGCTTAAATATACTAGACTTCCAGCGGAGTATCATAACGGAGTATCATAACTAAAACCTTAATATATGAAATAAAAAGTAATAAATTATTGAATAAAAACTGAATAAATTCAGATTTACAAGTTTACTCAAGTAAATAAACAGAATTTATGATGGGCTAAAAATCTGCGGAATTCTGCCCGCAGATTCCGTGTGGGCCTAATTATGAGGCATTGGAATCAGAATGTGAAAACGTGAATGTGTATATATCCTAAACAATCAAATAATTATAAATGTTAGCAAAAAAGTGCAAGGTAAAAAAGTAAGAGAGACTGTGATATCTGCTACCAGATCTATTTTCATTCATCATGCACCGACATGAAAATATACTAAAATAATTCATTGTAAATACTACAGTGTTTTTAACCATACTGACACTGACACCTCCAATAGACATAAAGATGTTGCGCAATTAACTAAAATGTGGCTAGAATTGGTTTTATGTATGGGCAATATATATTGCATCACCAAAAATGATTGAGGTCACGTCCATGTGTTGTGCGGTAAGGCATAATATTGATTATTGTGACAGGCCTAGCTCAGAATAGCCAAAATATTTCATAAGCTTGTGTGTGTTGATTTATTTGAATATAGGCATCTGCGTTGATCCTTATGAAAGTTTGACCAGAAGAATAATGGTCATGCCCAACAAAACCTAGTTCTTCTCAAGGTTTTGTTTTACCTTCACTTTGTCAAATGATAAAAAAAAAAATAATTTCCCTCCATTGTCACCACCGACTTGCTTGGATCAGGACATGTGGAGCTGTTCGGTGGATTTGTTCTTCAGTGTTTGGACTTTCAGCAGTGAAATTTAAACCACACTGAACTAAACTAAACTGAACTTCAACTCTGAAATCTGGTCTTTAATAGAACTATGTTAAGCTGCTTTGACACAATCTACCTTGTGAAAAGCGCTATAGAAATTAACATGAATTGAATTGAATGTAGGTAATATTCGGAAATTTTCTGTATGTACCTCTTTTTACTAATGCATCTTTGTTTTTCTGTCTGTTTGTAGTGAGGAGCCGCATTCAGCAAGGCCTTGTTTCAGTTGCGGCACGCACTGTCATATCTCACCTAGTCAACCATCTGGGTCACTATCCCATGAGTGGTGGTCCGGCCACTCTGACGAGCCAGGTGTGCGAGAACCAGGACAACCCATACAGTGAGAGCGCAGACCTGACCCCTGAACTCTTTGACGCCCCCAATTTGCAGTTCTTCGTGCTTAATGGCACCACCCTGCTGTCCTACTTACAAATTCGGGCTGAAGATGGCCTGCCCGGTGGTGGGATGTCAGCTGGCCTCACCACCACCAATGCTTGTGTTCGGGTGATTGTGAGGGACATTTCTGGTAAACACTCCTGGGACTCAGCTGTTCTGTATGGTCCACCTCATTGCATCACTCCTAGTCAAACTTTGCACCTTTACACGTCCTCTAATCCGAGAGGGGAACATAATAGAGATGAGGACAGTTTAGAGAGGGGCAGCCAAGAAGAACCAGAGGATGGAGCTTTTCAGGAAAGCGAGGAGGACTTGGATGAGCATGAGGAGGCGGAGGTGAAAGAAGACGAGGTGGAGGAGGAAGAACTTGAGGAAGAGATTGAGGAGGAAGAGGTTGCACTGGAACTTATGGCCCCGCAGGCCAAACGGCGGTGCAGAGAGGTCATCCCGAACTGGGACTCCCTGCAGGATGGGGAAGACTCCCTAGATGAGATGCTGCAATATCTGGGATACTCCAGCCCAGAGTGTCTGCAACGTACTGGTGGACCTCTCAACATACCTGCCCCACCTCCAAACTGTGTGTCCGAGAAACAGGAGAATGATGTCATCAATGCCATCCTGAAGCAGTGTGCCGAGGAGCAGGACTTCACAATTCACCGTGGTAATGAGCTGAACATGAGGGCCGTCGTTCAGCAGGAGCCAAGCCCACAGAGACCACAGTCTGCCTTCTACTACTGCAAACTGCTCCTCAACATACTAGGCATGAACTCTTGGGAGAAGAGGTAAGACTTCAAGAACCACAAAAACACACCAGTAGGGCAGAAATTCCTGAAGAGTTTAGTTGAAACCCTGATTAAATGGACAATTCAACCAAAAATCATTTACTTTCCCTTCACTTGTTTAAAATTGTGTTTGTTTTTTCTGTTGAGTCTGCTTGAGGCCATTGACTTCTGTAGTATTTTTTGCTACTATGGAAGTCAATGGGTGCCAGAAACCAGCATTCTTTAAAAACTCTTATTTATCAAAAAAAACAAGGAAACAAAAAAAAAAAAGAACATGAAGTTAAAAATATAGGTTTAAAATCACATGAGGGGTAATAAATGATGAGGTCATTCTCATGTTTTTGTCTCATTTTAAATCACCCACCTGTGAAAACCTTGATTAGCATGTTCAGATGCCTTTGATAGCTGGAGGTAAACTCTGAAACCCTAAAATCCTATTTGTATGTACAGTGGTCTCTTGCTATAACGCGGTTCACCTTTTTTTTTTTTTGTGCCTTTTACCTTGCTTTTTTTGTGCATTGTGTTCTGCGTCCTGATTGGCTGTTGACCATTGTCAGTCAATCTCCTCTGTATCTCATGTACAGTACAGAATGCGTTCAGCTTGCCAAATTAGCATAAATCTTCAATCGCTAGCAGTGTGAATTTCAACAAAGATGCAAAAAGGGTTGTAACTCTCTGCAGCAAAACCATCATAAAGGGGGTCACACACCGTCTGCGCCGTGCCACGATACCAAGCATAGAATTCTATCAGGATACTCACACCGGCACCACAAGTCATGAAGACACTGTTTATATTTCTACTATGCCACAGAGCGCCATCTGAATAATTTCATTTTAAAAAGCATATGAATGTGTGTTACTTCCATGTGTCTGGCACATCCGGTGTCCGGAGTCTGCTTTAGCTTTGTGGATCAGTGACTGCAAGAATAAGAACATTACGCTGGATGCCAACATTATCCGCAGAGAAGCTAAAAAGCATTATGAACCTTTTGCTGACAGCGATGAATGTTTGCACCCGACAACCGGTTTTGATCTTTGGTTTGATTCTATAATACTGGACTTACTTTTCTACGAAGGTTTGAACTTAGAGAGTGTTTAATCGAGGGAAAAGTGTGAAAATGTTAATACCTGTCTGAGAAAAGTGTATGAAGTGTGTAGCGAGTGGTTTTACAGCCTTAAAACATCTATAATAATTGTAAAAAATGTAAAGCGGACTACTATGCGGATTTAGTCTATTTTTATTTTTAGAACGTAAATCCTGCGATAAACAAGGGACCACTGTATTAGGTTGTTTGCTAAACATTCATTCCTGTAGATGTTCATTAACATCTCAAACCTATAACCTGAAAGCACACCAACAATGAAGGTTCCGTATTAGGTATTAGATAGGGTTTGGTATTGTTTGGGTTGTTAATGATGCCAGTGCCAATTTCATACCTTTTCAGTGGTAGAGTTGCTAAAAACCATTGCCAGAATGGATAAATAAAAAAATAGCCACAAAATGCCAATGATATTAAAAACAGCTTTTTATATGAAATCAAATTTACTCAATTTGATATATATATATATATATATATATATATATATATATATATATATATATATATATATATATATATATATATATATATATATATATGAATAAAAAAATTAAATGCACAAAAAAAATTTGCCCAAAGGTGCCATAGAATTCATTGACGCAATCTGTGTTCATGCTCGCCTGCCTGCTTCATAGAATGGCTTCTTAAGCCTGTCCCACATATATAGTTAATATAATATAAGCTTAGATAAATTTGTAAATAAGGGGATTAAAAATGATCATAGCTGTAATCTCAGTAGGAAATGTTGTGGCCAATCAAAAGCTGCCTGAGGCATGCATATCAATAGTCCCTTGTGGATTGTCAGAGTTCATGTTTTGTCCTGATTGGCCTGTTTTTTCACTCCCCTCATTTACATGAGAAGGAGAAATAATGGTGTTTGAGGCTCACTGGAAGTCATGTCCATGTATGAACTCTTATTAGTCAGCTATGCCTAGTCATATCAAGAGTTCATTCTGTGGCACTATTAATAAGTACTTAATAAAAACTGGGCCGATAAACAATATTATATTGAATCACGATAAAATTTTTGTCAGTAAAAATGATAAGCTCTGGACTTTTTTTTTTACTCTATATTGATCTAAGAGCCAATCACACAGCAGAAATGGTTTGAAATTAGAGATGTACTGAATATTTGGCCATCGAAAATTTATCTGCCGAAAATGCTGTTTTATGAACCCTCTTTTTTTGTGGCTTCAGTCATTGTTGGGGTACTCTTTTAAATCTGGAAGCATTAACAACTTATATCGAAATATATATTGTTATCTTTCAATATGAAATTTAATTATTGAGATTGCATTTTTGCCATATTGCACAGCCCTAAAGTGACTTAACCAAACTACAACCACACCTATTACTACATCTGAAAACCTAAGCGTCCCTTTTGCTAAAATTGCACAACTTTTGGTCCATGAAACTGATTCACAGAAAACTTTAGAATTAAGAAATGCTCAATTTAGATTTTATTGCTGCTAGTAGGGCTGGGCGATATTGCAAAAAAAAAAATAAAATGATCACAATATAATGTTTCATATCATTCGATAGCGATAATTATTGAATATATTTTAACAATCTATCCAAGAATATTAGTGTTTTTGAGTTATTTAACCACTTCATCTTAATTTACCAACATTAACAAGGCAAATAGTTTTAATAGTCAAAAACCAAAATATTGAAACAAAATATCTCATCTCTTATTAATAAAATAAACAAAAGTGTTAAAGAGACTCTTAAACTTGATAAATAAAATGTTACAAAGTGTGTGCAATGGTAAAGTGTAAATGCTGAACAATCAAAGCAAATTTTAAGCTGTGAATAGTAATGAGACTGTAAACCTCAAACTCTTTGATTATGATAATCAAATCTGAGCTTTCAAGTAAAGGAGCCAGCCATTATTAATCAAATACATACTGCAGCATTACAAATTGTCAAATTAAATGACTATATTACCCTACATGCTAAAATCTTTCAGATGGGAAGCTATTGGCTGGGATGCACAAGAAAAGAAACCAAAAAGCCACTTTAGCAACATCCTAGCATCCTTTTTTCAATCTCCATTTTGAAAAGTTGAGATGTTTTTTAACTAGGTGCGGCTCAAATTCATGCGATTCACGTGTGCGCCGCTTCCACGACATGTGCGAGTCTTTCCTATTTGCGCGTCGGGCAAATCGCGTGCCTCCATTGGAAATGGCAAACTTGCACTCCATACTTAGTGGCATTGCTTCCAAAGCGCACGCTCAGCAGCCACATTTAATGAAACAATGCTATAGCGCTTATTTATTTATTTATTTTTATTCTGGTTCTGCAGGTTGCAATGTTGCAAATTTTGATTGCCAATCAAAAAGCCAGTTGTAATAGTTTGTTTTGGCTCAATTTGGAACTTTCCCAACCGAGTACGTGCTCCGACTTGCCCTCCCGGTCCTCTATATTTAATTCTTAAGAAGTCATGTCCACCTCAAGCAGACTATTTTTGTTGTTCCTTAAGTATGTCTTTAATCATTGCTTTTAAAAGATGGTAGTTTTATTTTATATAAAAAAGGTTTCTAAAAAGTCCCTTTTTGGGCAGTTTTTGAGATTATTTAAATAACACTTACATCTTTATATTAGCTTTGTTTAACCAAATCGTGTAAACATGTGCTATGCAAATTCAGCAACTCTTCATAAACCCCCCATAGACTCCATTGTTTTGCTAGAGTTTGTTAGCACAATCTGGGTGACGTTGTTGTTGAAAACCGATAATGCATGTAAACATCCTGTGTGCTCGCACCTCTCCCTGATTGCGCAGAGCCACGTTAATCTGCTTTAAACTGTCAACATCTCTCTGATGAACTAATCCAGCAACAGAAACTACAATGCAGCTCTCTCACTGTCCAAACCTCAGTGTGCGTCCCCCTCCCAACAATTGTCCCCCCCAGTGCATTTCACTGTAAGGCTTCAATCCCATTCCATTTAGTGGTATTACAGAGAATGGTTAAATATTTCCAGATGACAAATAATTGGAAAATTGGGGCTATTTTTCACCTTGAATGTAATGGCATTAATTTTCATCATATACATGCTCTGTGTTATGAGATTAATGAAGGAAAATTGTTTTTTCACCATTCCCTCATAGAGTCGTCGAGGGGAAAAAGCTTTTCTTCACACAGCTCCGGGTGTGCTGTGTGTATGTGTGTGTGTGTGTACGCACGCAGCTTTTATGGGGGGATTAATTCTTGAGGGGTCTGTTATCTGCCGAGCAGCCACGGTACTTTTCATTCTTGCCTGATACGGCGTCTGAAAATAAAAGGCTGCTACCTTTCGAATGTGGCTGGAGGGTTATTATGAGTTGGAGAGCCGAGAGAAAATGCATAGGGGCTGTTTAATGAGGAATTGTCCTGCTGCCGCTCTCCAGGCATTCATGTATCATTTATCCATGGTCAGAGACTAAGGCATTGCAATCCGCCGAGCCATTGTGTGTGTGAGCGCGCGCCTAATGTCGGCCTTTTATGCCGTTCGCGCGTTCGCCTCCTGAAATGGCTCACTTTCAATGGAGAAAATGAAGACCATTACATTGCAACAAGCTAATAAAGAGACCCCTGCTCAAAGAAAAGGAGAACAAAACAAAAAGTCCTTTTAGAGAGCATCGTGTGGCTTTTCCACATGACTCACGCGGCCACTTGGAGAGAGAGAGATAAAGAGGGAGAAAGTGACTGAACTCTGAACTATAAAAGCGGCAGATGGAAAGAAGTTGCATTATCTTATAGATTCATCTGGTTTTTTGGGTTTCTTTTAATTAAATCATGGGCAGGTTTTTGTTTTATGGTTCACCGTGTCATAAGATGTTTTTTTTTCCATGCTTTGAATCTTTCATTATTTGTTTTCATTCGTGTTTCTGGGAGTCTGTGAGAAAAACAAGGAAGCCTGTAATTAAGTAGACGGCCATTTAATGAAAGAGATCTAACGCACAGTCTGGAGCACCGCTTCTCTAAATGAGGGCCACGGACCATAGCTGGAGCCTCCTCAAAAATCCATCTATCTGCTTGTCTGTCTGTCTTTGTCTGTCACTCTGTCTGTCGCTTCTTCCATCCATCTATCTATACTTCTATCCATCTATCTATCATACTGTTGTTTTATCTATCTATCTATCTATCTATCTATCTATCTATCTATCTATCTATCCATCTATCCATCTATCCATCTATCTATCCATCCATCCATCCATCCATCCATCCATCCATCCATCCATCCATCCATCCATCCATCCATCCATCCATCCATCCATCCATCCTAGATTTAGTACCATCCATCCATCTTGTTGTCTGTCTATCATTCTATCTATCATTCTACTTTATCTATCTATAGTTCTGTCATTCTATCCCTCTATGTTTCATTCATTCTATCCTTCTGTTGATCTATCCATTCATCCATCCATCCATCCATCCATCCATCCATCATAGATTTAGTATCATGCAATCACCCACCCACCCATTCTTCCACCCATCCATCCATTCATCCATCCATCCATCATTTTATCATCCTTTCCATCTGTCCATCCATCCATCTAGCCATCTATCCATCCATTAGACACAGATGGGAATAATCAATAATACAATATATTGTGATATTGAACATACTGTACACATGATATTGTAGGCACTGTTAAAAAATGAGGTTGTTTTTATTAATCTTTTAGAGTGCCTTTAAATAATAATCAGATTTTGGTGGGGATGTAAATCACAGCATCGAATGCCTAAAGACATAATAGGCAGTATAGTTTCAACAACAGCCTGTTCACATGTTATTCCAGCCTAAAACACGCACAATATATAAAAGAAAAATGTGTATTCCTATTGCTCATTAATATTGTACAGTGAGGTGCGAACCGTTAACATTAGTTATTTTATCTTTGATTAGTTAATGCCTAATAACACATTAAAATCATTTGTTTTCATTCATTCATTTTCTTTTCGACTTAGTCCCTTTGATCAGTTTTTTTAATGGAGATAATTAATAATGAAATTCAGTTGTATTTTCTAACTAACTTTCTAACTAAGATTTAATCTGGCTATTTCTCAATGTTACTAATGAGTCTTCATTGCAAAGTGTTACTTGTACTTCATAATTTAATTAATTTGAAACATTTGTGCTCCGGTTTTCCTCACAAGTCCAAAAACATGCACTAGAGGTGAATTTGGGTAAGCTAAATTGTCCGTAGTGTATGCGTGTCAATGAGAGCGTAAGGGTGTTTCCCAGTGATGGGTTGCAGCTGGAAGGGCATGTGCTGCGTAAAACATATGCTGGATAAGCTGGCGGTTGATTCTGCTGTAGCAACCCCTAATTAATAAAGAGACTATGCTGAAAAGAAAATGAATGAATGATTTGTTTATTTTAAACATGTATTTTATACAACAGGGTTGACAAAACTTGCTACTGGAGGACTGATGTCCCACAAAGATTGCCTTGTGTATATTTGCAGTTGGAACTAAGTTTTCTGACAGTCTTCCCTCTAGAACAGAACTTGGACAACTTGGTTGATTGACCTGTTTGAATTTTTTTTGATCTGCCATATAGTTTTTCTTTTGGTCTTACTGACTTTGTCCATCATTGTGTCTTTGTATAGTTTTTCTCTGTTAGTCAGTAGTTCCATCTGTCTGTTCAGTCTGTCTATTTTCTTTCTTATAAAGAAAGACTTTGTTCATCACCTGTCTGTGTGCAAACTAATTAACCTGAAGTGATCAGGGATAAGTAATGTGGTAAAAAATGTGTCGTCTCCAGGAACAGTTTCCACCTGCTGAAAAAGAATGAAAAACTACTGAGAGAGCTGAAGAATCTGGACTCCAGGCAGTGGTATGTTACGCTGTTTTATATCTGGTGTTACTTCTGGAAAGGTGTTGTAGGGGCAAAAGATAGAAATTAATCACTGATACAAGTGTGTTTCTGTCTCTTTTTTCACATTTTACAGTCGTGAAACACACAAAATCGCGGTGTTTTACGTGGCAGAGGGACAAGAAGACAAGCACTCCATTCTGTCCAACACAGCCGGGAGTCAGGCGTATGAAGACTTTGTATCAGGCCTGGGCTGGGAGGTAAAATCTTGATCATTTTACGCTGGTAGCCAATTCATTTTTTGGTTTGTGATGTATTTTTATCATTACTAGTCATTTTATCCACCTCTCCTGAAGCATGCCTACCGCATTTTAAATTCTGTGTTGCATTTTCAGTGAGTTTGCATGTTTTTCCTCGTGTTCGCGTGGGTTTCCTCCTGGTGCTCCGGTTTTCCTCACAATCCAATGACAGGGCAATTAAATAAAATAAATTGGCTGTAGTGTATGAGTCTGTGTGAATAAGTGTGTATAGATGTTTCCCAGTTCTGGTTTGCAGTTGGAAGGGCATCCGCTGTGTAAAACATTTGCTGGATACATTTATTGTAGCGGTTTATTCCAATGGGCCAACCCGATGAACAAAGGGACTAAGCCGAAGGAAGCTGAATTACTGAATGTTGCATTACAGTAAAACTAAAGCTAATCATTTTAAACAATAATGTTGCATATCCATAGTAAAAAAGGTTTTACTTTGTGTAGCATGTCATGATATTACGATCATGTTTTGCATTTCATTGTGACATTTTTTACTTTATGGATTTTATGGCATTATTACAAAGAATAAAATATTGCAACAAAAAAGTATAAATAATGTCAACTCTAGCACATAAAATGAAATAAGATAAAACATATCAACAAAAAAAAAAGGTAAATAATAATGTGACACACTGAAACAAAAACAATAAAATCGTACAATCTGTATCACACAATGATCTTTAATTCCAACTTGGAAAAGGAAAAAGAAGAAGTTTGCTGGAACCAGGACTCCATATACATCATGTTTTTGAAAATATTTCCTAAATGGGTCCCAGATTTTCTTTAACTGTTTAGATAAACCTCTAGAATGTTTACTGTGACATTTTTATTAAACTATCTGTGGTAAAGGCTTCTTGGGTTACTCCAAATTATTTTGTTTCTGTATTCCGGAGCGTGTAGTAAAGTAATATTTAAAGGTGCAGTATGTAAGTTTGACACCCAGTGCTTGAACTAGGTATTGCACACCTGGTTCAAAACGAATGCAAGCGCTGGTTGCCAGATTGACGACACCAACAGCAGGGTGCCTGACTGTCGAGCCTGAAGGCTGATTTAAACTGTGTTCTAAATAAAAGCAATGTCTTGTGATAGAAGGAATATTTTACATATTAAAATGAGTTTTTGTTCAAACCAACACCTCGAATTGAAATATTAGAAACTGCTTCTATTTCTTGCAGCTGAACAACAACTTTGACAATGCAGCTGAACTTTGACAATGATCACCTCAGGTGCACCTTATGTGCTTTATTCTGTGTTATATGTTAATAAAGTGAGTTTGATTGCTATTTTACGTGACATTTATTGCCATACTACTAAAAGCAGCAGCAGCAGATTGTTCGCCTTAGATCTTAAAAATAAAACAAATAATTTGAAATTGAATTTTAGAGCTGTGACTAGCACGTAGCAGTGATTCAGCATGTACATCATTTAATATTGTTAGAAAGGGTTAATATGTATTAATTAAATCATAAACTTTACCATTTCGTTGGAGTGCATTGAGTGCACTATTTTGTGCATTTTGTGGTATTTTTATGCTTTAGAAGAGGTAAAAACTTACATACAGCAGCTTTGACATGCATGTAAAAAAGCTGTCCAAATACCCATCTGGTGATATTATAATTATTCACGGTAGCTAAAACTTTGTTCAATTACTTAGGTTTACTTTTCATAATTAATGATTGAACGGTGAGTGGAATACTGCAGCACCTGTGTATCTAGCTTTAACACTTATTGTTTAAGGTACACACTAATAAAAGTTACTCATATTATTCACTATTATTCGTCAATGGGGTTTAGAAAAAGTTGGCTGGGATATTCATGCATGGGCCCTAATAAACTCTTTTTTTTTGTGTTAGGTGAACCTGACGAGTCACTGTGGCTTTATGGGTGGCCTGCAGCGGAACAAGAGCACGGGTTTTACCATGCCTTACTTTGCCACCTCTACAGTGGAAGTGATGTTCCACGTCTCCACACGCATGCCTCCAGACTCAGACGACTCGCTCACTAAAAAGGTAATAAGTAACGCCAATTTCCATCCATTTTATTTTGATGTTTTAAAGGACTTTATATATATATATATATATATATATATATATATATATATATAGACATGGTGCACTCATATTGGACATGAGTAGATGGTTGACTAAATTCTACCTACTGAATAGAAGGGCCTGTTGGTAAAGTCATCACGTTACTAACAATGTCAAAAGAACTAGGCATTGTCCTGAAATGCTCATTTATGTCCAGCCAGAAATGTAAAATTATATTGTATTTTATACTATACAATGTCTCTTTTTTAATCATTTCATTTCATTCATTTTTATTTTTTATAAATTTTTTAAGTATTTTACTTAATTTATTAAATTTATTTGTTTTTGCAGTGAACCGAGTTGCCCTGACAGAAACTTTGATATACTATTTTACGCTATTACAGTACTTCTATTTTAGTTTAATTGATTGCTTTTTATTTTTATGCTGTTTTTTTTTTGTAAAAATAGTGGATCAACTTCTACTTTGATTTAAATAGTTTTGTCTTTAGTTTACAGTAATAGTACTCATATCCACTAAATATTTTTTTTTTTTAATTTAAGGTCCACTAAATGTGTTTTCCATATAAATAAAGAAGGCCATTTTTGTACTGTAATTGTACCTTTAGGACCTAATTTTAAGACTTCTTTTTGTTCATAAAAACAGCAGCAGTCTCTCGAATAGTGCCCCAACATCAACATCTTGCAGTCTTTATCATTGGTACTATGTCCTACTGAAGCTAAGCAGGGCTGCACCCGGTCAGTACCTGGATGGGAGACCACATGGGAAAGCTAGGTTGCTGTCGAAAGTGGTGTTAGTGAGACCAGCAGAGGGCGCTCAACCTGGTTCTGTGTGGGTCGTAATGACCCAGTATAATGAAGGGAACTCCATACTGCTCAGTGTGCCCCGTCTTTCAGATGAGATGTTAAATCGGTGTCCTGACTTTCTGTGGTCGTTAAAAATTCCAGGATGTCCTTCGAAAATGAGTAGGGATTTAACCCCGGCCAAATTCGCTCACTGGCCTCTGTCCATCATGGCCTCCCAATATCATAATTGTCTTCATCTCCCCTCCACCAATCAGATGGTGTGCGGTCTGGCCCAATATGGCTGCCGGCGCATCATCCAGGTGGATGCTGCACATTGGTGCTGGATGAGGAGAATCTCCCAATGTGTAAAGCTCTTTGAGTGTCCAGAAAAGCGTCAAAAAGTGTAAGGAATTATTTTTATTAATTAGAACATACATTTCTTGAAGTAAAAAATTTAATACAACCATATAAATATAATTGATACAATAAACCCACAAAGAGTTTTAAAAAGCACACAAAGTAATTCAAAGTAGCCCAATTTTGCTGGAAAATTATAGACTTGGCAACCCTGGCAGCAGCTTTTATTCTATTTACATTCCATTGAGTCCTGTTTAATTAATAGACTTTTTTTCTGGACAAAACACTTTGCAAAAGCACAAAATATATAGTAACTGGGATGGCAGCTTTGCGTTGTAAGCATACACTATACACTACACGGTACACAAAAGAGCTGTTTTGGTCAGTCAGAAGCTGTTGATTCTCTAAAGAGCTAAACGTTCCCCCCGCCGGCTCACCTGTGCTCTGCCCCTTCAGATTGTGGGCTGTGTGATTTCTTTCATAGCTCTTGTGTCTTGAGTTTTCTCCAGCAGCGCTGCTCTGCTCCTCCTGTGCTTTAGGTGAAGTGGGAGTCTGAACCGCACTGACCCGCGCGTTCACACCACATCATTACACCTAACCCAGGCTAATCTGAGGGGTGGGACACTTATACCTGCCGAGAGCTGCACTTTTGTGTTTCTGGCTTCCCCGTTGAGAGAAAAGGTCTTCTCTGCTGTCAGAACAGAGGGAAAGGAGAAAGTAATGACTCCTAACAGCCGTACTTTATTCTCTTGTTCTGCTTCTCCCACTGGCTTTTATCTCCATCTCCCTTTTATTTAAAAAGGGACGTCGGAGGCTTTCTTTTTCGCACTCTTGCATGCAGTCGATGTGACCTCACATTGAAGAAACATCATTCTCGGGTTTTTCTCTTTCTGCAAGGGTGTTTCTTCAACTGTAGGCAGTTTGGATGTTTTAATTCATTGCCTGCTAATCTTATGGTTTATACACATCTCATATTATCTATTATTTTGTGGTTGTGTTCTGTGATGTAAATAACGATGATAAAATAAAGACAGGCTCCTTTTTCTTGTTATAATTAATTTCATATGCAATTTTTAGGTATCTCAAATATTGAAGAATTTAAAAGGACGTAATACAATAACTCAAGTGATAAAAAAGAAACTAGTTCAAATATTTTGAATGCTTGAAACGTTCTGAATGATTTTATGATATTACATTAGATTTTAAAATGTGATAAGCTTTTTTGTTGTATTATTATTATTATTATTATCATCATCATCATCAAGTTTTTAAAATGTTAAATATTTAATTCAGAATATTTAAATTAAAGTGTTGCAAATATTTTAAGTCAGATTTTCCTTTTTATTAACATTACTACAATATTTGTGCAATTTTTTTTCCACCGAGTCTTCACTTGGTCCAGTTTTGAAAAACAACAAAAATCATATTTTGTAATATTATTGTGTGATTATTTCATTTAAAGCTTCATAGAAAAGAAAACTGTTGGATGAATTTTCATATTTTAACAATTTCTGTTGGAAATTATGTAATTGAAATAATTAGTCGTTTAAATTATATAGTTATATTTAATTGAATCACTTTTAAAATGTCATATTTCATCTCAAGCTTGCTTATTTTTCATTGAAACTTGTGTTTGTGTGGAACAGTTTTGCCAAAAAAAAAATGGGGTTTGGTGTTGACGGGGGATGAATCGATCGGTAAGTGATGACCGGGGTGGTACGGGGGGCATTGTTGGTTTTAGGCGGCAGGCCAGATTGACCGTCAGGCCACCAGGTAATGTCCCGGTGCTTCCTATGGCTCAGTTCCTGAGCAACATAAAACAATGTGAAGACTTGTGCGACCGTCTTTATGCTTCTCTCCTAAACTCGAAAATATAGTTGGCTGAATTGTAGAGATGCTAGATTAAGATTGTATAGGGCAGGGGTGTACAAACTCGGTCCTGGAGGGCCGGTTTTCCTGCAGAGTTTAGTTTCAACCCCAATCAGACACACATGGGCAAGCTAACCAAGCCCTTACAATGCTTTCTAGAAACCTCGGTGCAGGTGTGTTGAGGCAAGTTGGAGCTCAAATCTGCAGGACACTGGACCTCCAGGACCGAGTTTGGACACCCCTGGTTTAGGGGGTGGAATCAAGATCACCTTTTTTTTTCGATTAATCGTGCAGCCCTGCTTGAGACCAAACTAAACATTGACATCTAGTAGTACAAAAACAATAAAGGTGTAATAAAAAGTTGCCCAAGTCGGTTTTAATGTGACCTTCATATGACAAAATGAACAATGTTGCAAGCTGTTAGTTTTAATAAAACTCAACCCCTGGGATATTACAGCATCCATCCTTGAGGTAAACACCCTCAAACGTCTGTCTGCATGGGTATTTTTTTCCGTTCACATGGCCAGCGCAAATCTAATAATGTGCAGCATTACCCTTAATGAGCTTGGCTGGGAGGCGGTGATACGGGGCTGTTTATGGAGCGTCCGACCCCATGCCGAATGACCAATCGCTTGTCATTATAGCTGTCCCCTCACTTCCTCTCTCATATGTCTTGTGGGACGAAGACGAGGCGATAAGGTGCTAATGCGCCCCAAAGACTTATTAATGAACGCTAATAGAAATGTGATATTGTTGTGAATGACAGTGTGGAGGGAGGGATGTACAGTGGGACATTTCGTGGGCTGTTTGTTGGGTTGTGACAGCGGGGAGCCTTTAATTAGATTGCTACGTTTAGTCTGAAATGGTCTTGCCTAAAGCTTATTGTGTCTTTTCTGTTTTTATGAGCCAGGGGGGGTTGAGGATATTGTCAGGTAGATGCCGGACTGTAATTGACTTTAAGCAGAAGGGTCACAAGATGGAAGATGGATTTCAGAGATGGTCTTTTTTTAGGGTTGATTGTTTTTTTATTTTATTTTAATGTTTGTTTGTTTGTTTTTTGTAGGTGATGCTTGCAAAAAGGTTTTCCTGAAATGTCTTTTTTGTCGTTATTTTTGGGGATCTTAAATATACAGCATAATTTGTTGAATAAATTGACTTGAATGAAAAGGAAACTATTTGAATATTTTTACAATATTCTTTCATTCATTCATTCATTTTCTTTTCGGCTTAGTCCCTTTATTAGTCAGGGGTCGCCACAGAGGAGTAAACAGCCAACTTATCCAGCATGTTTTACACAGTGAATGCCCTTCCAGCTGCAACCCAGTACTAGGAAACATCCATACACTCTCATTCACACTCATACAATTTTGACAATTTAGTCAAATTGTCAATTCACCCGTACCACGTCTTTGGACTTGTGGGGGAAACCGGAGAACCCTGAGGGAACCCACGCAAACACTGGGAGAACATGCAAACTCCACACAAAAACGCCAACCGATCCAGCTGAGGCTCGAACGAGTGACCTTCTTACTGTGAGGCGACAGTGCTAACCACTGTGCCACTGTCGCCCCATTTTTGCAATATTAGATTTGAAAAAAATTGATAAACGTTTTTTGGGAGTTCTCTAGACAATACCTGAGCTCAAACTCCCCTCTCGCCCTGCAAACAGGAGGGAGCCCCGGGCTTAAAGATCTTATGAGCTCAGGGCTTACTCCCGGGACAGCATGCCAAACTCGATCATCAGCTAAGTCTGAATTCTTGAAGTATTATTATTATTATTATTATTATAGTTGTTATTATCAGATTTTTTTTATATTTTATGTTAAATTGTTATTGTATTTAATCAGAAGGATGACACGATTTAAAATGGATTTTATGGGCTGGTCTTTTTTTTTGTGAATGTTTGTGCTAACATAAAGATTTTCCTTAGGTGAAGTTTACAACTACAA